CTCCTATCTCTACTGACTAACTCTTAACTGACAACTCTGACGACTAACAATTCTCTTGCTATTCTACCTTCCTTCTCTCGTCTCCGACCTCTAGCTAACACACTTCCCTTTTATAATACCACACAAACAACTCAGCCTACGCTAACGTTCCACACCACGGACTAACTTCACGCTCTGACCTCACGACCAACAACTCACAAAACACTCCCACGCTTCATGACCCCCCCCCCACCCAACATTCACAACAAACTAGCTCACAACAGTTCGTAACAATCTAATAATATGATAGTGGTTTGTAACAGTCTAATGACATGAGAGATGTTTGTAAGAATCTCATGATATGATAGTGGCTTGTAACAGTGTAATAATATGAAAGTGGTTTGTAACAATCTAATGTCACAAGTCTCACTTGAGTAGCGACAAGTATTTACTACTGACCTCCAGCACTACCAAAACAAAAATAGACGAAAAACTGCCACCAAAAAGATTGTATTTCGNAGTCCTGGGGAGTAGAGATCCTAAAGTGTGTCAGTAAGTCCTGGGGAGTAGAGATCCTAAAGTGTGTCAGTAAGTCCTGGGGAGTAGAGATCCTAAAGTGTGTCAGTAAGTCCTGGGGAGTAGAGATCCTAAAGTGTGTCAGTAAGTCCTGGGGAGTAGAGATCCTAAAGTGTGTCAGTAAGTCCTGGGGAGTAGAGATCCTAAAGTGTGTCAGTAAGTCCTGGGGAGTAGAGATCCTAAAGTGTGTCAGTAAGTCCTGGGGAGTAGAGATCCTAAAGTGTGTCAGTAAGTCCTGGGGAGTAGAGATCCTAAAGTGTGTCAGTAAGTCCTGGGGAGTAGAGATCCTAAAGTGTGTCAGTAAGTCCTGGGGAGTAGAGATCCTAAAGTGTGTCAGTAAGTCCTGGGGAGTAGAGATCCTAAAGTGTGTCAGTAAGTCCTGGGGAGTAGAGATCCTAAAGTGTGTCAGTAAGTCCTGGGGAGTAGAGATCCTAAAGTGTGTCAGTAAGTCCTGGGGAGTAGAGATCCTAAAGTGTGTCAGTAAGTCCTGGGGAGTAGAGATCCTAAAGTGTGTCAGTAAGTCCTGGGGAGTAGAGATCCTAAAGTGTGTCAGTAAGTCCTGGGGAGTAGAGATCCTAAAGTGTGTCAGTAAGTCCTGGGGAGTAGAGATCCTAAAGTGTGTCAGTAAGTCCTGGGGAGTAGAGATCCTAAAGTGTGTCAGTAAGTCCTGGGGAGTAGAGATCCTAAAGTGTGTCAGTAAGTCCTGGGGAGTAGAGATCCTAAAGTGTGTCAGTAAGTCCTGGGGAGTAGAGATCCTAAAGTGTGTCAGTAAGTCCTGGGGAGTAGAGATCCTAAAGTGTGTCAGTAAGTCCTGGGGAGTAGAGATCCTACAGTGTGTCAGTTAGTCCTGGGGAGTAGAGATCCTAAAGTGAGTCAGTTAGTCCTGGGGAGTAGAGATCCTAAAGTGAGTCAGTTAGTCCTGGGGAGTAGAGATCCTAAAGTGAGTCAGTTAGTCCTGGGGAGTAGAGATCCTAAAGTGAGTCAGTTAGTCCTGGGGAGTAGAGATCCTAAAGTGAGTCAGTTAGTCTAGGGGAGTAGAGATCCTAAAGTGAGTCAGTTAGTCCTGGGGAGTAGAGATCCTAAAGTGAGTCGGTTAGTCTAGGGGAGTAGAGATCCTAAAGTGAGTCAGTTAGTCCTGGGGGGTAGAGATCCGGTAATTATTTTCCACGTTCTGACGTAATTCTCTATTTTGGGTTTTTGTTACGCACCAGTATGTTGTCTCTAAACCTTCATAACTTTTTTTTGTTTTTAATCATAACATGTTAATTTTGGTATGAAATTAAAGGAAAATGCCTGCTCTTTGCAAGCAAACAAGACTTGGGTTTAAAATTTAATAAATAAATGCGTTAAGTAAAATAAAAATTTATTTAAAAAAACTCACCAACTGTTCACAAAATGCTCATTCCAAGTCACACGAAGAGAAATATATCATCCAAAGTGTAGCACAAATGTTTTTTATCCTGAATTATATCCATTGTTGCATCACAAATAATAAAGATCAACTTTCAAAAAATAAAAAAATTAAACCACACAGCACATTATCCATTGTCACCGCCACACAGCACAATATCCATTGTCACCGCCACACAGCACAATATCCATTGTCGCCGCCACACAGCACATTATCCATTGTCACTGCCACACAGCACATTATCCATTGTCACTGCCACACAGCACATTATCCATTGTCACTGCAACACAGAACATTATCAATTGTCACTGCCAAACAGCACATCACAGCACAATAACCATTGTCACCACCACACAGCACAATATCCATTGTCGCCGCCACACAGCACATTATCCATTGTCACTGCCACACAGCACATTATCCATTGTCACTGCCACACAGCACATTATCCATTGTCACTGCCACACAGCACATTATCCATTGTCACCGCCACACAGCACATTATCCATTGTCACCGCTACACAAAAATGTGCAAAAAAATGTAACTAATTCCACTGGAAACAATCTGTTGCTGTTTAGAAAAAATTGCACTGTATCCTTGTATGTACTAACATGTATAATGGTAAATGGAAAGTTTACCATACATTTGTCACATATTTCCATCTGGGTTTAGCTATGGTAAGCCTAAAAAACAATCCATATGGATGTGCACTTTAGCTGGGGGGCGGGGCTGGTTGTTCATCAGCTGATGAATTACCACTTTCATTATTTTGTCACTACTAGTACTACTAAATACTAGTACTAGGATTTTAATCATACAATTCAACAGAATCAGCTTCTGGGTCTGAAATCATAAAAATCACTGTCTGAATCATCAGAGTAATATTGTCCACCTTTATGAGATTGATCACCCGATGCGCCAGGTCCAGATTTCATGTTTGTGAACAAAAACAAAACGGACAATCAAATCAACCGCTTCAAGCCATTCGTTCTTCGTTCAAACACAGAAAAACCGGATGTTCATACAAAGGGAAATCATTCTAAAATTGATTTAAAATAACTAAATACCAATAGCTAAAAGAAGAACCGAAATGAGCAGGTTTTTATACATCGACGATCCCATCGTCGATACGCCAAAATCTTTATTTGAAATCGACGATTGGAGCTTTGATCCGGAGGGAAAGAGGTAAGTGAGTCAGTTAGTTTAGAAGAGAAGAGTGCCTAGAGTGAGTCCGTCAGTTAAGTATAGTAGAGTTCCTAGGGTGAGTCAGTTAGGTTAGGGGAGTAGAGTTCCTATTGTGAGTTTAGACTTTGTTATATTTTTTTGCCGTAGCAAAAGAAACTTATAGTCATTACTCAGTCATTATCAGCACAGGTTTATAATATATAATGGGCTTCATAGCATAAGCCTAATGGGCTTTAATAGCATACGCCCAACTATAAATTACTTTCAATTTCATCACACTTTTCGCCTATTGTGATCTAATTTTTCTAGCTATTAGTTCTTGTATCTAATTTAAGTACATACGTTTTATTTATATAGTCATCATTTACTGTATGTCCAGAAGTAAAAACACAATTGCCCAGTACAGTCATCACGACAGCGTGTGAAAAACATCAAATGGATCAATGTAGCCATCATCACTCTGTTTGGGAGAAATCACTTGGCTCATTATAGTAATCATTACTGTGCGTAGAAGACATCACTTGGCTCAATAAAGCCATCATCACCGTGTGTGAAGGACATCTTTGTGTGTGTTTGATAACAAATGGACTCAATATGGCAATTATCAGACATAAAAGAAAGTGCTACAACTAAGGAAGAAGGATCTCTCGCTATCTAGCATCTCAAGATCAGGAAGCATCTTCACCGGAATTCACCACACCGGGTGTTATGAGAGCAGAAATAGACAACATGCTGCACCCTCCGTGTAAAAAGATGTTGGAAAGGAGAGAGTACCAAACATGTTTGGAAAGAATGACACCTAGTCAAGATACCAAAAGAAAGGGTAACTCAAGAGCTGTGCAAACTGCAGAAGAATTACACTGCTTCCTGTATCAGGAAAGGTCTTTAAAAGAGTTATTTTGAATTGAATGAAGGTCCAGGGGTCGTTGCGCACAGGGGTGGACTGAAGAGTTCAAGTGGCCCGGGAAAAAATCAAAGCGGCCCGGGAAAAAAACAAAAAGCGGCCCTATCTTCATGACTTTTATTTTTATTATATCACCGGTCCTTGCGGCCCATCGGGAATCTTCCCGGTGGCCCAGTCCGCCCCTGGTTGCGCATCTACGAGATCAACAGGCTGGCTTCCGCGGAATCAGATCATGCACAGATCAAAAAGCAACGCCATGAATGGAAATCCTCCCTCTATATACATTGTTATAGACTACGAAAAGGTCTTTGATAGCCTGGACCGATAGAGCTTGTGGAAAACTCTCCAAAGGAGCCGATTCTGCAAATCAAAGTCTGAATCTCCAATACAAACCTACTATGTGAAGACGAAAGTTGTAGAGCAACAGGAAGCATTACGCAGAAAGTACAGACCTTCATAAACACTTCCCTTAGAAAGATCCTGAAAATCAAAAGGCCAAACACCATCACCAACAAAGACTTACTGGACAAAAATCACCAGACAATCTCTAATGTGAGGGCCAAAGAATTTATGGGGACGCGAGCTGGAGGCAGACACACAAAGTGCGGGCTTCACCTGGAAAGAAAAGCTCAGGACACAGATGAATGGAGAACATCTTGTAGAATAGCTATGCCCCAGACAGGGTCAAAAGCATAAATTAGTAAGTAAGCAATCAATAATGCAATGAATGCGTTATGCCTTAAATACTATACAGTTACATTTTTATACTTTTGGTCACGTAATCAGGTAAGGGTAATATGAAATATTGGCTTATTTCGATTGTAAATATTTTTGTGTGCAATAGACAACGCTACGAAAACATACAGTAGCAATCTTTACGTATTGATTCTGTAAGCGTTTAACATAAGATGTGTCCACATAAAAGACGAAGTAAGAATTTTTTTGTGTGGTCTTTTAATAGCAGACATTGCTTTAGAAAAAGAAAAAAAAATATATCATAAGACATAGTACATAAACGTAAATTTGTTATCTGACTAGGTATAATTCATTGAAACATTTAACATGAGACTTGAGTTTAGCAATGCTCAAAATAGAAACGGTTTATAATTGAACAAATAATAAATAAATAAATAAATAAATAATTACGTCATCATTAAAAATTATGCAAACAACAATCAGATAATTAGCTGCCCTCGCTCTAAACCTTTTTCTTTAAGGCTGCACGTGTTTTCATAATGGTTTATTGACCGAAATAAACAAAACTCAAATAATTAATATGTGCAAACAAGTTCTTCTGTTTCATTGGGTATCTTGTCTAGCTCCAGGTTTTTTCAAGTGTACTCTCCAACTCCTGTCTCTAGCCATCGTAAAAAAAACAACATTCCCAGGCATTCTCAAACTCCTGTCTCTAGCCATCGTATACGTTTTCAGTTATTCTCGTCTCCACTTTAAAATGTGCAAGATGCGAGTACTCATCTCTGTCAGTGACACTGTTTGGCACGCCTTTTTCGTTTGTTTCACCGTTCACAGTACTGTGGGTGAAAATGGAAGATATAACATTCAATTTGGTTTTGAACTATCTAAATTTATCAATGTTTAAGACAGTGGTTCTCAACCTTCCTAATGCCGCGACCCTTTAATACAGTTCCTCATGTTGTGGTGAGCCCCACCATAAAATTATTTTCGTTTCTATTTCATAAATATGTTTTTTTATGGCCTTAGACGACCCCTGTGTAAGGGTCGTTCGACCCCCTAAGAGGTCGCGACCCAGAGGTTGAGAACCACTGATTTAAGACATGAGGTCAGAGGTCACATGTTCTTGGTATAAAATTGCAACTCCCTCGACCCCCCCCCCCAAAAAAATAAAAAAAAAAAAAAAAAAAAAAACAGAAACAAAAAATAAACGAGACTACAACTATAGAAACTTGAACTGTGCACAACCCCTCACTCTAACCTCTTTACAAACTTTACAAAGCCTCAATCTAACCTCTTTACAACCCCTCAATCTAACCTCTTTACAACCTTTACAACGCCTCAATCCAACCTCTTCACAACACATCATTCCAACCTCTCCACCACTTTCAGATGTCTTTACGACAGCCAGCCAGAGCTGTAAAGGACCTCAGCACAGTGGTTTATAAGTATTTTGTAGCATAAGTAAACCATCAATGATAACAATAAAATAAGATGAATATATAATGAGCTCCTCGTGCCATTAACTGAATCCAGAGATAGAAAACACCGCAACAGAGTAATTGACAATCACTGTAAAGCATAACAATGGACCACTGCCTAGTTATGGTCCTGCCGACATTCAGCTGTGTGCTAGAGCCGACCTGCAGCATCGAAGAGTTAGCTCCGCGTTCGAACCTTCTGAATAAGTCAAAATTTAAATTCGTTTAGTCCAGTTTTGTTAGCTACTGTCCAGACTATCCACCTTAGCTACTGTCCAGAATATCCACCTTAGCTACTGTCCAGAATATCCACCTTAGCTACTGTCCAGAATATCCACCTTAGTTACTGTCCAGAATATCCATCAGGACAAAGCGTTTCCAAAGATTGGATTAAGGTTAAGTCTCCAAAATTTTTTTTTTTAAAGTATTAAAGATTCCAAAACATTTGTACGCTATCAGAAATATAACAAGCCCTACCTAGGAGCAGACGCCGCCTCTGAATGTAAGACTTGGTTGACTTCAGAATAAATCTCTCCGACCCTTTCTTCGGTGAGGTTTCGATTAATTTTCTCCTCTGACAAATGTTGTTTCGCCAAATCGTAGATACCACTCTCAGACGTCGGTGGGGCTCCAGGTGATACCTAGGAGTGTCGTTGTCAATGTTTAGATGTGACTATTGGCAACAACAGTGTCAATATCAGATGTGATCTAGGATTAGTGTTGTGTATGTGTAGATGCAACTATTGGCAATAACAGTGTCAATATCTTATGGGATCTAGGATTAGTGTTGTCAATGTTTAAATATAAGTATTAGCGCTAACACTCTCAATATCAGATGATACCTAGGGTTATATACAAGCATTGCTGCGCTATCTGGGTAAATCAGGAAGCACAAAACAAGAACAGTCTTTGTATATTGGGATAAAAAAAACAGTCTTTGTATATTGGGATAAAAACAGTCTTTGTAAATTGGGATAAAAACAGTCTTTGTAAATTGGGAAACATTATAGGTGAATAATGATGTGTGTCCAATTAGGACACAATTCTATTGTAATGTTTTCATAATAAAGTAAGTTGTATTTAAAAAAAAAAGAAGTTAAGTCTATAATAAAATAAAATATGTAGAATGTTGTGTGTAAAAACAAAGACTTACTAACCCTTGTATCATCGTCTGCTGAAACGTCATCATAGTGACATCCCGGTTTGTACAGCATTCCATTTTGATGGACACTCTCACGTCTTTTGCTCCTCCTGTGTTCAAATATTCATATTTTGAAATCAAACATAACAACCACTATTAAAGGTTTTCCCTCAATTGAACTAACTAACAAACATATTCTGGTGAGGGTCTGAGATTACTCTCGTATGACCCCGGCTAGTAAATTGGCTATCAACTCCATCTGTTGAGCTGAGCCATACAACATTTCCCTCACAAAGGATCCTCCAACCGCCCTGGCTTCCCCCCGGGAGATCTAGTGAGGGAAATTCGGCCAACAGATGCTCTAGGGTCTCCGGGGCTAGGCTGCAATGACGGTAGGTAGGATCCCTTTTGTTATCCTCAATTGCACTAAATTATTGGACACCAACTTATCGCAGGCGACCTTTAAATCCGTTGACTGGACGTGGGTGTCTTATTCAAACAATTTATTTTGTTCGAATTTTTTTCTTTTCTACAAATATCTCGACAACAACAAAAAAAATGAAAGAATTAAGGAAGGGAAATAAGGCGATAATCATTCCGTGAGAGCAGAATTTGTCAAAGAAGTTTGCAATGGGACGGAAGTTCCACGTCGGGTTCTATTTGTCTATTTTTATTTAATCTAAGATCTTTTCAAGACACTATAGTGCCTCGCATTGTAATAAAATTCTAATACTAAATATGATAAGCCTTACACATTACGGTGTCCTAACTGATAGTTTATAAAAGTATTTGTTGACCCTAAGTTGGGCAACATGGACTAGCTACACAAACCCCGCTGAAGCTGGCGTACCGATCGGATAGCTTACCCAAACTGAGAAGAAACTGCCCCTAAGTACATTGTCTTTTAGAAACAACAGAGGTGCAAAGCAACACACACACATTTCAATTTACTTAAACATGACCCAGGAGGGGCACAGCTCACGGACAGATGAAGGTACTTACATGACCCAGGAGCACATCACACGGACAGATGAAGGTACTTACATGACCCAGGAGCACATCACATAGACAAATCAATGCATTTGCATTCTACACTGGAGCACAGCACACACACAGATCAGTGTACTTACACAGCAAACGAGAGCGCATCACATACACACATCAAAATATTTGGGCATGTGCACATCACACGCGCATATCAATGTGCTTACACGCAACACAACAGCACTGTTCAGGCACAGATCAAGGTACTTACACACGAAACATGAGCACAACACATGACCAGATATATTTACTTACACACGAAACATGAGCACAACACACGACCAGATAGATTTACTTACACACGACACATGAGCACAACACACGACCAGATAGATTTACTTACACACTACACATGAGCACAACACACGACCAGATAGATTTACTTACACACGAAACATGAGCACAACACACGACCAGATAGATTTACTTACACACGACACATGGGCACAACACACGACCAGATAGATTTACTTACACACGAAACATGAGCACAACACACGACCAGATAGATTTACTTACACACGACACATGGGCACAACACACGACCAGATAGATTTACTTAAACACGACACATGAGCACAACACATGACCAGATAGATTTAATTACACATGACACATGGGAACAACACACGACCAGATAGATTTACTTAAACACGACACATGGGCACAACACACGACCAGATAGATTTACTTACACACGAAACATGAGCACAACACACGACCAGATAGATTTACTTACACACGACACATGGGCACAACACACGACCAGATAGATTTACTTAAACACGACACATGAGCACAACACATGACCAGATAGATTTAATTACACATGACACATGGGAACAACACACGACCAGATAGATTTACTTAAACACGACACATGAGCAAAACACACGACCAGATAGATTTACTTACACACTACACATGGGCACAACACACGACCAGATAGATTTACTTACACACGACACATGAGCACAACACACGACCAGATAGATTTACTTACACACTACACATGAGCACAACACACGACCAGATAGATTTACTTACACACGACACATGGGCACAACACACGACCAGATAGATTTACTTACACACGACACATGGGCAAAACACACGACCAGATAGATTTACTTACACACGACAGCACAACACACGACCAGATAGATTTACTTACACACGACACATGGGCACAACACACGACCAGATAGATTTACTTACACACGACACATGGGCAAAACACACGACCAGATAGATTTACTTACACACGACACATGGGCACAACACACGACCAGATAGATTTACTTACACACGACACATGGGCACAACACACGACCAGATAGATTTACTTACACACGACACATGGGCAAAACACACGACCAGATAGATTTACTTACACACGACACATGGGCACAACACACGACCAGATAGATTTACTTACACACGACACAGGAGCAGAGCACACAAACAGATCAAGGTGATAGTGACAACGACAGCAACCAAACTCGTTACTATGACGATGACCCTGTCACTGTCATCATTGTTCCCAAATCCATTATTCTTGTCATCATTATCTTTGTCTTCATTGTTGACATCTGAACAATCTGCATAAATATAAAACAAAGAACACTCTACATAAATGTATAAAACAGAACCATGTGCATAAATATTTAACAAATAAAAATCTCCAGAGACATATAACATATAAAGACCTTCAGAAATATATAACATATAAAGACCTTCAGAAATATATAACATATAAAGACCTTCAGAAATATATAACAAAAAAACAATCTTAAGGAAAATATAATTTTTTATCAAACTAACAAAATATCAAACATATAAAAATTCCAAAAATATAACTACACTGTTAAAAAACGGTCTATTTTTGGCTCTTGGTATTGTTACATTGTTTTTAAACTAACTTTTGCAAAGCACCCACGTTGTGTGTTCCTAAACAACAGAAAGAGTTCAATAATTGATACAAATGATTACAGATGCACTGACTTAGACGTTGTTGTATTTGTTGTTGTTTTTTAGACCACATGGATCATCTGGCATTTGATTGTTACAAGGTCATAAGGGATTATGAGTCTTGTCTGGTATTTCAGCACAAACTAATTGTATACACTATTTCCACAGTTCTTGGTTTGGTTCACCATCGTTGCCAAGTAACAAGAGCAGGGGGGATCAATGCGGTAGACTTGGTGTTTTCAAACTCAGTGACGTAGACATGTGTTCTTTAAGTGTGCATTTTGTCGCGTGCGTTAACAGTCACGCGATGGAGGTAAGAAGCAGCGAATGAGAGCGTAACCCGGTGCGCAATAAGAGCGGGACCGAAAAGGTCATTATGGGAATTATTCTAGATTTGGTAATGAAAAACTTAAAGAAAAAACAAAAAACAAACAAATAAACAAACAAACAAACATCCTAACAGTTAAATAATTAATTATTTTAGGTATATTTCATTCCCTATTTCAAAATTGTTTAGACCCCTATAAGATCCTTACATGCAATTTGAACACACTAAATTTCTTTTAAAAAAAACAACAAAATAATTGTTATTGGTCTTGGCCAAGTTCTTTAAGCAAGCACCCATCTACCTCCAAATACCGAAATTCTTGCTCACATACTGACGAGTCTTCCATTAAAACATTGTCATTAGTTAAACATTTAACTGTTTCACTTAACGTTCCTAACAGCGCTTCTAACGACGTTCTTTGGTATCACTTTAAACGTCATTTTATAACGACGTGTGCTGCGTCCTAAAACGTGACCTTACGTACCAACAAACTCACACATACATTGAACAACATGTGTACCGACTACTCACTGCGTACCGACTACTCACCTACTCATTGAACAATATAAGTACCGACTACTCACCTACTTATTGAACAATATAAGTACCGACTACTTACCTACTCATTGAACAATATAAGTACCGACTACTCACCTACTCATTGAACATTATAAGTACCGACTACTCACCTACTCATTGAACAATATAAGTACCGACTACTCACCTACTTATTGAACAATATAAGTACCGACTACTTACCTACTCATTGAACAATATAAGTACCGACTACTCAGCTACTCCTTGAACAATATACTCACTGCATACCGACTACTCACCTACTTTCCGTGTGCAGTTAATGGTGTCATTAAAGTTGGCTGAAGATAAAGCAAATTAAAAGAAAGAAACTGCGTAGGCAAGCATTGTTAAGTTTAACATACGTCAAGTGGAATTGTGATCAGGGGCGTCGCAGGACTTTGTGCCGCCCCACTCTCAAATTTAAAAAAAATCAAGCAAAACTTTACACCACAAAAGCATTAACATTCGGGGTCGGACACAAAAAAAAGGGGGGGGGGGTTGGCAGAGGGGTGGATTAGTTCTTTAAAAAATTAATTTAATTAAATTTCAAAGTTAGAACAATTATCCCACTCTCAAATTTAAAAAAAATCAAGCAAAACTTTACACCACAAAAGCATTAACATTCGGGGTCGGACACAAAAAAAAGGGGGGGGGGTTGGCAGAGGGGTGAATTAGTTCTTTAAAAAATTAATTTAATTAAATTTCAAAGTTAGAACAATTACAGTTATTAGCGACCTGTACTTGGCTTTAAAGTAATGGTTCTTGGTCTGTCCCCATACGTCATTTAGTTCTATGTATTAGCCAATTTAAGGTATCAACCAGTCATGGTTCCCAAATAGATTTAAAAAACAACTACAACAACAACAACAAAGGTCCACCTTTTGTTGTGGTTTTGTTTTTTCCCGACCTTTCTTAGTTGGTAAGCAAAGCTATTTGATGAGGAATCAAATGTGCTCTATGTCTATCGTATCGATCCACGAAAATATGACATTTGGTATACAGCCTAGAGAATCGATCTATTTTTGTTACCCTTTCAAAGTTTGGCGAGTCCTGATTTACTCATTGAAAAATTTATGGTTTTAAAATTTAAAAAAAAAAAAAATAATAAATTCTAGAGTTAAAAAAAATGAACGTAATTTCAATGAATGAAAGTAGAATATGAGCAGAATCTATACATATTTTTTTAAAGGCTTTAAATTTCTTTTTTTTAAAAAGCCATTTGGCGAGTCTCATTTAAAGGAAAATAAATGCAATGCTATAACGGGAAGATACAATATATTATTTTTATCTCAGAAACCAATATTTTGGCTTACGACAGTATCTGCTCTGGTCAATTCTGGCAGGAATGTAACATGAAATTTGAGTTCCTGCAGCGATAGCAATCCCTTGGCTCACCTGAGCAGCTCTGCCAGTAATTGATTGATAGCTATCCCTTGGCTCACCTGAGCAGCTCTGCCAGTAATTGATTGATAGCTATCCCTTGGCTCACCTGAGCAGCTCTACGAGAAGTCCGGTGATAGCAATCACTTGACTAATCCGAGAAGCTCTGCCAGTAATGTTTTTTTGTTTGAAATCTCACCTTGTGACCCAGTTATGGTTTTGGAATCTACTTAGAAATTTTATTTAAAATTTGGGTTAGAATTCTAAACAATGTTTTTAACAAAATAAATATGAGCCCACGGGGCCCACAGCAGTCATCAACCATACTCGCTTTTTCGAAATACATCTCATTGTGTAGGGATGGGGTGTCAAAGAATAATTACGCGCCCCGGGCGGTACTTACCCTAGCCACGTCACTGTTGACTGAATTAATATATAAAATAGTCATGCCTCTAATAGATAATGATATGATAAAATTGTTTGAGCGGATTATTTTTGAAAGCTTTGTTGTTTTTTTTGGTGTTTTTTTTTAAAAACTGTCTCAAGATCTTGGTTTGTCAGTTCTCAGTCGAGAAGGGATGGACAATTTTTAACAAAGTTCTAGCCCAACTCTCCGTAGTAAGTCTATCTATGCACAGTCTCAACTGATCAGTATAAGCGTATTTCCAACCTAACTCCAGTATGAGACTATTCACATCAGTACAGAAACAAAATAGCTTGATCCGTCTTATAGTAATATGTATCATAGAACGAAGTGACTAGATGGGAATGTTCAGCCCAAGAAACATTACAATTTGTTTTGAAGCTGCTGCGCATGCACAATATTATCGGCACTATCTGTTTCCGCCGTTTTAAAAACACAAATTTGTATTTATTCATTTAATTTAGCTCCTTAATGTTATTTTTAAAAAAAAAAAAAAATTATATAATTTTTAGGATTCATAATATTTATTTTACCCAAACTACTAAAACTAGTTTTGATCCCGAATTGAGTGATAGCAAATGTGCGCTGGGGGCTCGTGCCTCCTAACTCAGCACCGTCCATTTTTATTAATTTTGAATGCATGCATAACCTTAAATCAAGGGTTGCAAGGCAGTTTCTGACTTCATATTTGGAATCAGCAGGTTAAAATACATACATCCCGTACGTTTTACTGTCAGAATCAAAATCGTTGCTGGCCTGTGTTATCAGTGTTAACTCGATGGTTTTAAAGAAAATTTGAGACTTTGAAAGAAATACCCTTAGTTACCGTTGAGACTTTGAAAGAAATACCCTTAGTTACCGTTGAGACTTTGAAAGAAATACCCTTAGTTACCGTTGAGACTTTGAAAGAAATACCCTTAGTTACCGTTGAGACTTTGAAAGAAATACCCTTAGTTACCGTTGAGACTTTGAAAGAAATACCCTTAGTTACCGTTGAGACTTTGAAAGAAATACCCTTAGTTACCGTTGAGACTTTGAAAGAAATACCCTGAGTTACCGTACCAGATGACACCGGACTTAAGAAAAGCCTTCACTTCTTTATTGATCATTTAACAAAAAACAACAACTCACCATTAAGTTCTAACCATACTAGGCGGCCGGTTGGCATGTATATGTTTAGCTCAAATTGTCTGCCACTGAAAGTCATGGGGTTTCCACCAAGGCTGATCAAATAGAAATATTTTCAACAATCAATCAAGATTTAGATATAGGATACAGCATATAAATTACTATATTTTTATGTTAAAAACGCTACTAAAAAGTAGGGGTTCCAAGTCTAAGAGTGTGCAAGAATGACGTCATTGCGTGTAAATGATATATCGAACTAATGACGTAACACCTCTGTAACAAAACCTTGACACCCTCGCGAGTCAGTGCGCAAAACACAAGTAAGTTTAACAGTGCCACTACGCAAGGTTATGTTCAGCTATATCTCCGGGGGGGGGGGGGGCGAGCAAAAATATGTCCAAAAAAAAATCAACTGCCACTGCTGGCACCGCCCCCTATGACGTAACACCTCTGTAACAAAACCTTGACACCCTCGCGAGTCAGTGCGCAAAACACAAGTAAGTTTAACAGTGCCACTACGCAAGGTTATGTTCAGCTATATCTCCGGGGGGGGGGCGAGCAAAAATATGTCCAACAATAAATCAACTGCCACTGCTGGCACCGCCCCCCCACCTGGAAAATCTGAAGTGCCCCCCCACCCGGGGGGGAAGTTCTGAAATAATCACTGCCCCTGTGGACGAATAATGGCGTCGTTGCATTGGTCTGACCAGCGTTCATTTGAAATATGGTCAAATAAATAACATTTGAAAATTATATTTAAATTAAATATATTTTACTCAATTTGAATAGTATTATTGTGGACAAGGTGTAACGCATGTATTGTACTTGGATTTGGCCTTTTAGCAATGTAAGGGGCTCACGGTATCTAACAAAAGTATTGTTTCATGGCGTATATAGAAGTAGTATCAAGATTGTTTGGGTGAATTTACACAACTGTAAATTATAGTAAAACACATATTTACACGCAATTCTTTTACTCCTGCCCCCCTTTTGTTGTTGTTGTTGTTGAAAACGAGGTTATTAGCAATCCACACAATTGCTTGTAAGTATGCTATTTCTCTTTTATAACTGTTTTCTGTACTCGGCACTTATTGATGTACTCGGAACTTGTTGCAGTACTTAGCGGACTTGTATTGTATTGAGACTTGTCGTCCTTGTATATAAAGCGCCCACACGGTGCTATTCTGGAACGTAACATCTAGGCTTTGATTTTAAAATTAAGCAAGAAAAGAATTAGAGAAGAAAACCCAGGAGAATAAATACCACATTTCTTTTCTCAAGGTCAAGAGCTGAAGAGAAGCTGATCTACCATGACAGAAAACATGAACCACAGAGAATCAACTGATTCTTATTTCAAATACAATATTCAAAGTAGCTGTGTAACACTTTTCCCGTCTCTGTGTTTTGGAGATATTGATTAAAATAAAGCAATTTTTTTTACGACCCTGATTTTTTTTTTTTTTTTTGGCTGGCATCCGTCCGCCACAATGTGACGATGGTGGGAACTCCGCAGGCTCAAACAATCCCCAACGGATTTTTAGGCTATTGATTAAAAAAAAGCAATTTTTTTTACGACCCTGATTTTTTTTTTTTTTTTTGGCTGGCATCCGTCCGTCACAATGTGACGATGGTGTGAACTCCGCAGGATCAAACAATCCACAACTGATTTTTAGGCAACGGAAAAATAGGGGGGAAAACCACTTTTAAATCGTTCTTTCAATATGTTTTCCTTCAAATTTTTTTCTTTCTAACAAATCAGATGAAAACACACATTTTTTACGATTGCAATGTCAGCGGGTTTCAATGTATTGGTCATGTCATAAAATGACAATGTTGATTTACTTATTTTAATTCTTAATATCCTGGATTCAATTTGGTCCTGTATTCATATAGTAAGCTTTAGCATCTTACACGATTTGATGATGTAAATTAACGTCATCCTAGAGGTATTCTTTGAAACATTAAGCGCCAACATTCCATTTTATGGCGTTGAATTTGATAAGCCCACAATATATACATAAAACAAATGGAGTTTTAAAAAAAAAGTAATGAAAACATATAAGAGCTTATTTTATTTTTTTCATTTACAATTATCGGTGTAGGTGCTTACAATAGATAGTTCTATATGGATAGATGAAGCAGCTGGCATGCTTCGTATACTATCGATGACATAAAGAGTGATTTAAGTTACAAGTGATCATAACAAAAAAATAGGGCTCATAGACAATTTATGAAATGGAACAAAAGAAATAATAATTCAAATGAGAACAAACTCAACATAAAAGGTTGAGCACAAAGTCATCTTTTGAAAATGTGATCTTCATCAAGTAATATTAGTTATTAGTCCTCACTTTTTTTTCTGCTTAGAGCTTTGTACTTTGTCAACATAAATTTCCACCAATCCTGCACAATTATCCGTTGTGTCGCACTGACTTCCGAAGTCAACCTGAAGTGTCTTCAAAGTTATGTTTTTGTTGGACTCGTGGGCCTTAATTAAACATCTTTGATAGTCGGAAATGTTTGATTTTAGGACAAGTGAGTTGGTCACATCATTGTTGGAAATCTTCCTCTCGAACTGTTTGCACATGTCTAGAACTACTTTGGAGTGCTTCATGAGATCTAAAAAAATTGACATTGACTGCTAAAATTGAGAAGAAATTAATGGAATCGAATACTATAAATTGTGCATCTATCTTTATGGAAATTTTATAGAGTTACTTTTAATGGTGTCGAAAGTCTCGATAATAAAATTTATATATAAAATTTGGTAAATCGCAGTTTTATTAAGATAAAGAAATTATTTTCAATAGCAGCACTTAAAGAAAGTATTTGGATCAAGGCTTTGGAGCGATGATTTAAAACAAGGATTTGTAGCACGGATTTGGAGCAAGAATTTACAGCAAGGATCTGGAGCAAGAATTTTGAACAAGGTTTTAGAGCAAGGATTTTGAACAAGGTTTTGGAGCAAGGATCTGGAGCAAGGATTTTTGAACAAGGTTTTAGAGCAAGGATTTTGAACAAGGTTTTGGAGCAAGGATTTTGAACAAGGGTTTGGAGCAAGGATTTTGAACAAGGTTTTGGAGCAAGGATTTTGAACAAGGTTTTAGAGCAAAGATTTTGAATAAGGTTTTAGATAAGGATTTTGAACAAGGTTTTAGAGCAAGGATTTTGAACAAGGTTTTGGAGCAGGTTACTTGTTTTTTGTTGTTTGTTTTTTTTGTTCTGATCGGGACATTTTTGTTGATGTGAGTTTTGTTCCAGTTCTGCTCTGTGCTTCCCCAAATTTAAACAAAGAAGCATAGGATGTAAAACGGGAGGAAATGGGGGGTGGGGGTTGTTAAGTGTTTAAATATATGTGTTTATCATTGTCAATAATCATTCTTTATAGCATTTAGAAATGCATGAATGTATCTTTTTCCTCAATGTCAAAGTAACGGTAATCGTTTCTAACTTAACCAGAAGTATCCCCGAGAATACACGTCATGTTGGAAAAAGAAATTTTAAATTTATACAATTAAAATTATATACTTATACGCAGGAAGAGTAAAAGAGTATGACAGGTTAAAACAAGTATATTGTATGTTTTATTACATACCAAAAGGTTTACAGCGGTGGAGCAAAGTGATGCTTGTAATTGGGGTCGAACCATCGTCACACTTATATTTCTCCAAGAGGTCCAAAACATTTCTTGTCCCACATTTCAGCTGTCCACCGCAATCTCTTCTTACGGCTGCCTTCACAAAGTCATCTGTTAATCTGGTGTTGTTAGTCTGACCACTGCGTGGACATGAGGTCTGTTGTATAGGAATAAAATGATCTCTACGGGAAAACCTTGTTTATAACTTATAGGTATAGATCAATGTAAAAGTTCTCAAATCGAATAGTATGAGTGATAATAATAATAATAATAATAATAATAATAATAATAATAATCAGGACCAGCTCAAGGGGTTACGACGCGTGACAATCACACAGGCGCCAAAATTTGTTAAACTCAAAAAAAATTTTTTTTTCTTAACTCTTCCCATAATTTTCCAGAAGGCGACAATTGCCTATTTTCACGCAACCTAAAAATGTCTAGTGCCGGCCCTAATAATAATAGTAGTAATGCTAGCAATCATAGCAATAATTATAGTAATTTTAAATAATAATGATAATAATATAATCGGAAAATATAATATAAAAATAGTAAAAATAATAAGAAAAATTATGTATTACAAGATACCTAAAAGCATTTAAGAAGGTGAGTAGTATTTATGATTATAATTTTTAAAAGATAGTCACATTATTGATATTGATAGTAATAAAAATAATAATAGTTATAATATAAACTAAGAATTTTGTAAACACTGGGAAAAAAGAAATTCATTGAAAGACAAACGCTTTCAAATTATGTGTAATATTTAGTTTTGTCAAAAATTACACTAACACAGCAAAACACATCACTGGGACATCAACCAAATTGTCCTGAAAAAGTATCACACCCTCCACTTTTATTCGGTCTATAAGACCACATTGAGCTTAGACACAATTTATGAACTCAGAGACGAATGAATAAACCACATTCAGCTTAGATACAATTTTTGAACCCAGAGACGAATGAATAAATAACATTGAGCTTAGACACAATTTATGAACTCAGAGATGAATGAATAAACCACATTGAGCTTAGACAAAATTTATGAACTCAGAGACGAATGAATAAATAACATTGAGCTTAAATACAATTTATGTACTTAGAGACGAATGAATAAACCACTTACAGTTTAGACACAATTTATGAACTCATAGACGAATGAATAAACCACATTGAGCTTAGACACAATTTATGAACTCAGAGACGACTGAATAAATAACATTGAGCTTAGACACAATTTATGAACTCAGAGACGAATGAATAAATAGCATTGAGCTTAGACACAATTGATGTACTCAGAGACGAATGAAGGAACCACATGCAAAGAGGAGTGGGGTACCCCACCCTTCTCTGTTAGCGTCCATGGATACCAGACATTTTAAAGCTTTGAAACCCTCTTCAGCTTTTCTTAGCATTGAAATAGTTTATGAGTAGTTCACAGCGAGTGATCACAAGGACGAAATGTGAAGTGTTTGGTCTTTGTGCCAAATAATCAACTTCATCTATCTATTGAAAACTAACGGCTGCCATTATGACTAGTTATCACATGTACACATTCCTTCTCTCTGTGTAATTATCACATGTACACATTCCTTCTCTCTGGATACTTTCACATGTACACATTCCTTCACTCTGGATACTTTCACATATACACATTCCTTCTCTCTGGATACTTATCACATGTGCACATTCCTTCTCTCTGGATACTTATCACATGTACACATTCCTTCTCTCTGGATACTTATCACATGTACACATTCCTTCTCTCTGGATACTTATCACATGTACACATTCCTTCTCTCTGGATACTTATCACATGTACACATTCCTTCTCTCTGGATACTTATCACATGTACACATTCCTTCTCTCTGGATACTTATCACATGTACACATTCCTTCTCTCTGGATACTTATCACATGTACACATTCCTTCTCTCTGGATACTTATCACATGTACATATTCCTTCTCTCCGGATACTTATTACATGTACACATTCCTTCTCTCTGGATACTTATTACATGTACACATTCCTTCTCTCTGGATACTTATTACATGTACACATTCCTTCTCTCTGGATACTTATCACATGTACACATTCCTTCTCTCTGGATACTTATCACATGTACATATTCCTTCTCTCCGGATACTTATTACATGTACACATTCCTTCTCTCTGGATACTTATTACATGTACACATTCCTTCTCTCTGGATACTTATCACATGTACACATTCCTTCTCTCTGGATACTTATCACATGTACACATTCCTTCTCTCTGGATACTTATCACATGTACACATTCCTTCTCTCTGTGTACTTATCACATGTACACATTCCTTCTCTCTGGATACTTATCACATGTACACATTCCTTCTCTCTGGGTACTTTCACATGTACACATTCCTTCTCTCTGTGTACTTATCACTGGTACGCATTCCACCTCTATGTATATTTATCTCAGGTACACATTTTCTCTTACTGTACATTACCTTCTTTAGGAAAGTAACATCTTCAATGAAGATACCATCACCATTGCGACAGACCACAGCATCGTCATTGAAAACCACGCGTTTTTCTTTAGCCTCCCATCTTAACCATCCAGTCTGTCTCGATACACCTGGCAATGGACAATCTATCAATGAAACTGACACGTGATCTATCACTCTCACAATCGATACACCTGGCAATGGACAATCTATCAATGAAACTGACACGTGATCTATCACTCTCACAATCGTATTAAATTGTAATAAAAGTGTTTTGTTCATCAATGAATAAATCTGTGCGTCTGAGATTCCTATGATACATTTAATCTAACTTTCTATATACATTAAAAAAATAATTACACGTTTTTAATTTTTGTATATTATTATTTTTAAATGTATAAATACAGACAGCATGACCAAAATAACACTATGGTCATAAACATCATTTTAACATGTATAAAAGTACTTTTATGGATTTAAAAAAAAAAAAACAAGAATTTTTTTTTTTTTTTTGGATTTAAAAAAAAAAAAAACAAGAATTTTTTTTTTTTTTTGTTGTTGTAGTTCTTCATGATTTATCGTTGCCAATATAAAGGTGAAGAAGATAATTTGAAACAGTGTCATTGTGAAACACAATTCTGACCTGTACGTGTGAGAGCAATGAGGAGCAGTGTCCAGTTCAGAGCAAACCCTCGGCCTTTAAACAAGTGCATTCTCTTGTCCTCGTTGGGATGAATGTCACGAGAGATTGGTCAGCTGAGATTAGCCAGCCGAGATTGGTCAGCTGAGATTGGCCAGCTGAGATTGGCCATCTCGCGGATACATTGTCAAATATCCAACTTTAAACTGACCATTTAAACGTAAATAATCCTGCCTTTGTTGAGATGAATGTATCGAAACGGTCAACTGAGGTTGGACATCTCACGGAGATATTTAGTCTAACGATCAGACTTTACATCTTTACCACCATTTTAATTTTAAAAATACAATTAGATTAAGTTTGTCTTTGCAAGCTTATTTAATATCGGTTGAATCAGCGGTTCTCAACCCCTTGGGTTACGACCCCTTTGCGAGTCGAACGACCCTTACACAGGGGTCGCTTTACCTAAACTAATATTAAGTTATGAAGTAGCAATAAAAAATAATTTTATGGTGGTGGGTGGGGGGGGGGGTCACAACAGCACGAGAAACTGTATTAAAGGGTCACGGCAATATGAAGATTGAGAACCACTGAGTTCAATGATAAGAAAATGGACGATAGCTTGAAGTGAGCAATATGTAAACAAAACCAATTTTAAATAGACTAACATCACGCGACTATAGGTTTCTAAGTAATATTGTATACACCTTAACTGTTGGGCCTAGTCTGAGGCGTGCTTCACTATCTAAGTAATATTGTATACACCTTAACTGTTGGGCCTAGTCTGAGGCGTGCATCACTATCTAAGTAATATTGTATACACCTTAACTGTTGGGCCTAGTCTGAGGCGTGCTTTACTCTCTATATATAATAAGTAATTTGGTACATGATTTAACTTCTAGTTGTTTTTCTGACCGGTGCTATACTCTCTAAGTAATTTTTTTATACACTTTAACTCCTAGTTATTATCTGACCGGTGTTGTACTCTCCCAGACAGTATGATTTGATTACTGTAGCAATGACTTTACACACAGAGCACTTTGCACTAACATTTTTCTTTAGCTAAACACTAATTTCATCTAGACAATATTTCTAAAGCATCGGTTGACGTGCGATCTCGTGGCATCAAGATTCATGCATAAAATAATCTCTAAACCGAATCCACACGACCAGTAGCACGGTAGTTGATTTACTGCACTGACTTAAGTCACGTTAGAATTAAGTCAAACAGTCATACGTTACATCCTTGCATGTGATTTACTCAGTTGACTTAAGTCACGTTAGAATTAAGTCAAACAGTCATACGTTACATCCCTGTATGTGTTGTACTCAGTTGACTTAAGTCACGTTAGAATTAATTCAAACAGTCATACGTTACACCCTTGTATATCAACGATGGTGAAACCGAGAGAAAAACGAACCCCAACAACATTGCTTTAGGGACGCGTTCAACAAAACAATGTCTGCACTCATGATGTGAAGTGTCGCTTGAAATCATTTCATCTTACTGTAACATTTAACAGATAGTACATTTTAAATCAAGAACACTTGAGATTAAATTTATTCTAATCCTATTTAAAATGAATAAATACATTTAACGACTTCAGAAACAAACATTTAAAAAAATACACCTAAAATCTTTTGTGTCCTTAGTTGGACTTGTTAACATCTGAATTTAATTTGTGAAATTTAAAAAAAATAATAATAATAAAAAGAAAAATTATTTTTTAAAAAAATGAAGTCACAACAGCATGACCTACTTTCTGATGAAATCTGGTTTGTGTGAGAGGCAGACAACTGCTGCTTGGTCTTAATGGCTGAAGTGGATGTGATGTCACACAATGCAATGTGTGTTATCCCTTCTCTCTCTCTCTCTCTGTTGTTTTCTCTCCCTCTCTCATTCTGTCTCTTTCTCCCTTCACGGTGTGTCTGTGTCGGTCTCAGTCTATCTCTGTCTCATTCTTTCTCTCTGAATCACGGTCTCTCTTTCTCTCTCTCTCGGCCCCTCTGCCCCCCCCCCCTTGTTTCTTAGTCTCTCTCTCTCTCTCTCCATTTATAAGCACCTGCACACAAATATATCTTTGTCCTTCTGTACCTGGGACTCTCATAGAAAATGAATATGTTTAAACACAACTAAACACAATGATCTAATCTCTTGCAGGGGAAACTGCAGCATCCGGACACTGGGGGGCAATGACAAAGTTGTTGTGTGTGTCTGTCTGCCGTCATCAGTCTGAGCTGAGATTGGTAGTAAACTTCTGTCTGGCATCACCCATATGATCTGAGATTGTTAGTTATGTCCATCTGTCTGACAGCAGTAACGTGACCTGGGATTCGCATATGAGCGTCCATGTCCCACGCCACCAACGTTAAATGACTGCTATAATTGGACTTTGTCCGACTTAAACCTTAAGCTCTAGAACGCTGCGTCAGAGTGCGTCATTAAAATTAGACAATCCTAGATCGAACACTTCAATTCAATAATTATGAATGCCTTCATCTATTTCCACCCCACCCCAAACTCGATCCATGAACAGAAATATTTTGACTACAAGACTCCAATCAATGTATCACCAGCTCATGGTTGCTTTGTTTAAAAAATAACCACCAAAATGAAGTGATCAATCGCTTTACACAGTATTATATATAAAGCTTTATTTTGTTGGTTGAATTCCCCCCCCCCCCCAAAAAAAAGGGACACACAATGACGTCACATTTCTACAAACTCTCCAATCTTTAGGTGTCGTCTCAGATAAATCCCATGAATGACCCGTATGTATAAAAATTATTTGAAACACAAAAATATGGTGTAAAGAAAGGGGTGAAGGTTAGGGGTAGTGATGGGGTGGGATTGAAGTGGGGTGGTGATGGGGCGTGATGGTGGGGTAGTGGTGGGGCAGTGGTAGAGTGGACCAATTGTATAGGAGGCAATGTGGCAAGTAATCTCCAAAGTTCATTGCAGAAAAATTATAGAAAAACGAAAGAGCGCTCTACAAAAGATATAGAAAACATATTAAAAGAGACGGTTACCCCAAAACAATTGGCTACGATAGGTCAGTGGTTCTCAACCTTCCCAAAGCCTCGACCCTCTAATACAGATCCTCGTGTTGAGGTGACCCCCAACCATAAATTTATTTTCATTCGCCACTTCATAGGTTGTCACATGAGAAAGAAACAACGAGATTTATGATGTATTTATAAAGCGTTTATTGGACGGGTTTAATTTGATTGAACATGAGATGCTTCCTTTGAAATTGAGTCCCAGGATGAAACAAATAAGGGAACCCACTAAGACACCTCCCCCCCTTCCTTTCCATCGATACATAATATGTATTTATTATTGCCAATTAACAAAAATAGAGTTCAAAATATTCTTTGGCATCGCGTTCCTGTGTTCATCAACCACCGCACATAGACAGCATGACAAAAATAAGTCTCTGGACTTAGACAGCATGACAAAAATAGTTCTCTGGACTTAGACAGCATGACAAAAATAGTTCTCTGGACTTAGACATCATTACAAAAATAGTTCTCTGGACTTAGACAGCATGACAAAAATAAGTCTCTGGACTTAGACAGCATGACAAAAATAGTTCTCTGGACTTAGACAGCATGACAAAACTAGTCCTCTGGACTTAGACAGCATGACAAAAATAGTTCTCTGGACTTAGACAGCATGACAAAAATAGTTCTCTGGACTTACACAGCATAACAAAAATAGTTCTCTGGACTTAGACAGCATGACAAAAATAGTTCTCTGGACTTAGACATCCTGACAAAAATAGTTCTCTGGACTTAGACAGTATGACAAAAATAAGTCTCTGGACTTAGACAGCATGACAAAAATAAGTCTCTAGACTTAGACAGCATGACAAAAATAAGTCTCTGGACTTAGACAGCATGACCAAAATAAGTCTCTGGACATAGACAGCATGACAAAATAAGTCTCTGGACTTAGACAGCATTACAAAACTAGTCCTCTGGACTTAGACATCATTACAAAAATAGTTCTCTGGACTTAGACATCATTACAAAAATAGTTCTCTGGACTTAGACATCATTACAAAAATAGTTCTCTGGACTTAGACATAATTACAAAAATAGTTCTCTGGACTTAGGCAGCATTACAAAAATAGTTCTCTAGACTTAGACATCATTACAAAAATAGTTCTCTGGACTTAGACATCATTACAAAAATAGTTCTCTGGACTTAGGCAGCATTACAAAAATAGTTCTCTAGACTTAGACATCATTACAAAAATAGTTCTCTGGACTTAGACAGCATCACAAAAATAGTTCTCTGGACTTAGACAGCATCACAAAAATAATTCTCTGGACTTAGACAGCATCACAAAAATAGTTCTCTGGACTTAGACAGCATCACAAAAAAAAAGATAAAAAAAACATTTATAATTATGAAATACTGCTCTTAACAATAATGATGATAAAGTTTATTTCAAAAACACTCTTCATCCCCAAAGGTTCGAAGCGCGGTACAAAGTCAAAAAATTAATTTTTATGTCTCATAAATTTTCACCTCTCAATATCATTTAACTTGACTTGAGAGAAGTTTGACTTTTTAGGCCAAGATTCCCTTCTGTGGTTTGACTTTTTGAGCCAATATTCCCTTCTGTTCCAGACATTATCGAAAGGTCAGAGTTGTGTTCACATCCTGGTCCACCCGTTAATTTCGATATTTTGATGTAATGAGTTTTGACTTTCTGATATTATTCCTTCCTCTAAATTTCCAAGTTCAATTTAAAAAAAAAAATTAAAATATTTAAAACTTCACAAAGAACACTTACGGGCAGTGGATCTCACATCGAACAAAAGAGACACCATTTGTAACGGCGTTACAGTCAAAGCTGCTGCCAAAACATGAACATGTCACGGTAAAGGAAAAAAAAATATTTACAAATATTTACAAACATGGACATTATTGGAAATGAAAGGATCCCAGGAGCTGTAGGGTTATTACCATGGCTAAAACGTATATTTAAATGTGTTCATCTCATGTTAAGATGTTTACTAAATACATATTTAATGTTCATTTGGATGTTAAGGTGGGTACCAACAAAGCTATTGAAATGTTCATCTGACTAAAAAGAAATTCAAAATCTGTGTTCTTTATTTTTACTGTTTACTTGTTATTTACGAAATATTTTTAAAAAAAGGAAAGATAAGAAATGTTAAATTATTTTTAAAAATCTTGTATCCGACTATCATAGTGTCTTTTATCTGACTATCATAGTGTCTTGTATCTGACTATCAAAGTGTCTTGTATCTGACTATCATAGTGTCTTGTTTGTATCTGACTATCCTATTATCTTGTATCTGACTATCCTATCATCTTGTCTGCCCAGCAAAGTCTTCCAGTTGGCACCAGCCTCTAGCCATCGTAATGATTTTCGGTCATCCTCCCCTCCTTCCTGTGACGAGCTAGATGCGAGTATTCATTTGCTTCATGGGTTGAATCTGCCGGTCCTCTTTCACTCCTGGTACCGTTGGTCGCTCCAGGGCTATAATCAGAAGACATGATAGGTAACCTGCGGTAATGATTGTTTCAATCGCGGCTTACGTGGCAACACTTCCCAACCCCCTTTTAGCAATCCAAGAAGCGGAAACTAAGTCCCTATGGACTCACCCCTCCCCCAGTTCTGTTTATTAGGAGTCGTCTCCACTAATACACAGCCACAAAATCTTATACTTAATAATTGATAAACCTTTTGAAAAATTGCGAGGTCCTGCTGCCCTGATACATTACAATGTCCTACTGCCTTGAAACATTGCGATGTCCTACTGCCCTGAAACATAACGATGTCGTACTTCCCCCCCCCCTTAAAAACTAATCTTGTAGCCCCCCCCCCCCCACTCCCCTTTCCGTTTTCCATATGCCTCCCAGAACATTTAGTGCCTATAAAAATTCTGCCCTGAAACATTACGATGTCGTACTTCCCCACCCCCTTAAAAACTAATCTTTTTGCCCCCCCCCCCCCACTCCCCTTTCCGTTTTCCATATGCCTCCCAGAACATTTAGTGCCTATAAAAATAACTTTAAATAAAAGTGCAGGTACAATTTAAAATTACATCACAGCTTTAAGTCTCAAATTAAACAAATTTAATGTCCTTTTATTCCTTAAGCACAATTCAACGTACAAACCATTTCTGAGAAGTATTCTAGCATGGTATTTACTTCACAGACACAATTCAACGTACAAACCATTTCTGAGAAGTATTCTAGCATGGTATTTACTTCACAGACACACTTTTATTGGGGTGCTTACGTTGCAAGAGGATGTCTACTGATTTGTTTATAATAGGTCATTTACATTAATACATTCTTGTGGGTCGATTTCCTTATCATTATCTGTGTCGATGTATGTAGCTGAAGTCCAAGGACACAAACATGTTGCAAAGATTTTTCTCAATGTTAAAATCAATCATCATCATACTTGCATGTGTTATTTCAAAGGTGCAAACAATACCAATCGCCAACAACACTGATAAAAGTTCTCTCAACGTTTTGAAAAGTGCTGAAAATCCCATTCGATACCCTGAATGATGGTAACTGCCCTGCCTCCACTTCCCGAAACTAACTCCCCACCCTCCTCGACTTACCTACTAGCTGCAGCAGAAACCGCATCAGAATTTCTGATTTTGTTTACGGTGGCGTACGTCGCTTGGACTCTCTCATCTCGCGGGTACTGGTCCGACGTCTCAGGGGACAAAAATGGCGGCGCTGATGCTTCCATACGATTCGCAGACGTCGGTCGACCTCCAGGCGACCCGCCGGATGGACGCTGTGACGTCGTTGTTTCGGCGGTGGGCGACGTCTGCTAAGATCAATGATCGAAACAAAAGTTCTATTTTAAGACATGCCGTGATCGTCAACTTCTTTCTCGAACGCCACCGAAGACACGGGGTCACGTGATGTTTGTTTACACGCTACTAGATTAAACAGATAACTTTGGTGAGACGCGAGTGCCACAGTCAACTTTCTCGCTCAAAGACATGTTTTCCGCCCTGATTTGGAACTATGAAATCTTTAGTGTCTAGTGTCAATATTGAGTAAATAACACCTGCAGTAATTTTTGTTTTCTTTGTAGAAAAAAGCAAGCATTACGACTATAAAGTCATAAACAGAACCACATTGCAGACTCATCGGTGTCAATTGTGGTGGTGGGGGAGGGGGGAAGTAATCGCAGCTCTGTCATGGCATGTCAAGTGACAACAAGAAATCTCGAATAATAACAAATAAATGGTATTGAAATGTATGCCATAAGCTTTGTGGAATGTGGAATACCAGGAAAAACACACATACACACATTAAGAGATGAAGATGTAATGTGTACATGAAGGCAAAGACTTACTAACCTTTGAATCCTTGTCCATCGTCACATACTCATGACCGTCCACAGATTTGTTCAGCAGCTCATGATGAAGATTTTCAATTCCTTTTCTCTTTCTGTGTTTAAATTGATATTTAAAAAAAAATAAAAAATATTTGTCATTATCTGGTTTATTCCACTAAAATTAAATTATTTAACACCAATTTAAATCTCGTGTTAAATATCGCAGAATGTGAGTGCTTCTAGATCACAGAATGTGAGTGCTTCTAGATGTGTTTCATTACTTATTTATTTATTTGTTATAGGCCACATTATTTAAAATATTATATGATTAAGTAAATAACATTTTTTTAAAATTTACAATTCATCAAACGTGTCCATGTGTACATGCTTGAACAAAGAGGGGGTGCGGTGGGGGGGATGCAATCGGTAAAGTAAAATACCTAAAAAAATGGAATACCCAGAGGTGATGTTAAGAAGAAAAAAAGCCACTCTGAAATAAATGAAATCAAACATTATTTTTGACGTAAGATAATTTGATATGTACAGACACCGTATGGCGTTAGGGCAAGATTTTAAAGATGACAAGACTACAGGTTGTACTGGTGACAGAGCCCCTCACCTGTGACGTAAACAGATGACCACAAGGATCACGACGACGACGAGGACCACAAGGATGATCACGACACTCACGGGAACTGCGACCTGGATTTGGGAGCTCCCACCTTTGGCTCCTTTGGTCAAGATGTTTAATTTTAACGTGAATATAATTAGATAACAATGTGTAGTGAAAAAAACAACAACAATATCTCAGATATAACAGAACAAAATACATTTTTATAATCATTAAAAAAAATTTTTTTTTAATTTTCAACCGATGTATAGATTGTAAGAGAGATTCTAAGACTTTTATAAGAGAACAAGAAATATGTGAAGAAATATGTGAACAAAAAAGAAGCTATTTATACTTTACAATAAACTATTTGGTTATTTCATATACAAATCTGCATATCATTTTTTGCAGTGAAACAAAAATATTAAAGAAAAAATAAAAAGTTATCTTCATCAAATGAAACAATATTAATTATGGACCCGATTAAAGCGAATGGCATTGTCACATATACTCTTAGTTACCAATACGGCTGACGGGCGAGTCAGATGAGGGACCCCTGTCCATCCGGATCATGCCCGCGGGCCGCAGTTTGAGAACCCCCTCGTTAAAAAAAAATATTAAAATGTTTTTTATAGGAGCTTTTTTTTAAGTGGCTGGGGCGAGAGGGGTAGATTTACCTCCTGCTCCCTACACATGTTTTCGTCCGGCGCCCCAGCCTCCATCCTACTTACTCGCGGAAATGTTTACATTTGTAAGTCTTATTATACATACTTATATGAGATGGTGTTTATAGATTAACCGTTTTCTTTTTGAGTGAGCGAGGGCGTGGTTTAAATAGCGTGACGGAACCATACCAGATGTGCTGCTGCTGCTGCTGTTGTTGTTAGTGTCAGCCGGAGAGCTGGCAGAGCTCAAGGTTGTAGTTGTTGCAGATGAGCTTAAGGTTGTAGCTGTGTTGGATGATCTTGAAGCTGCGGTTGCGGTTGATGAGCTTAAGCTGGCCATTGTGGGGGCCACGCTTAAGGGTGTAGTTGTGGTAGATGAGCTTAAGGGTGTAGTTGTGGTAGATGAGCTTAAGGGTGTAGTTGTGGTAGATGAGCTTAAGGGTGTAGTTGTGGTAGATGAGCTTAAGGGTGTAGTTGTGGTAGATGAGCTTAAGGGTGTAGTTGTGGTAGATGAGCTTAAGGGTGTAGTTGTGGTAGATGAGCTTAAGGGTGTAGTTGTGGTAGATGAGCTTAAGGGTGTAGTTGTGGTAGATGAGCTTAAGGGTGTAGTTGTGGTAGATGAGCTTAAGGGTGTAGTTGTGGTAGATGAGCTTAAGGGTGTAGTTGTGGTAGATGAGCTTAANCCCCCCCCCCAAATTACCCCTCCCCGGTCCGACGTATCGGGCCGCGGAGCGGCACGTTGGAGATGCCCATTGGTCAGGACGGCCCCCACGCGGGCCCCTCACCCAAGTCCCCCGCCTGGGCGCTCGACCAGGACCCCGCCTGGGGGCCACCCCAACCAAGAGGCACCCGGTCGACCCGACACTATGGGCAGCGTTCTCACGGCTGCATTATTTGAATCCTCGGCCATGTATATATTATATCTATTTAAATAATTAACAATGGATGTTTCAATTATTTTTTAAAGTTTAAAGCTAAGTGACGTGAATAACGAAAGGAATTTTAATGATAGCGTCAGGTAAAATCTAATGTACAGTCGGACCTCGACATACGAGTGCCCTGACATACGAGATTTTTGAGATACGAGACGTAGAACGAGCGATTAAGAAGAGTTGAGCAGTAGCTCCTTCACCTACCTCCTCTACCTCCTCCACCCTACACCTCCGCCAGCATCTTCCGTAAACTCAAGTCGGCTGATTTCCAAGGTAAATACACATTATAAAACCAGCGTATTCCTTGACATACTCTTTTATCATGTTTTTATGCAATATTTGTCATCTATAAATACAGTTTTATTATTCAAAAACACGTACCAAAAAAACAACTGAGGTGGCATTTTGGGGGCTGGAACGGATTAATGGCATTGCTGTTAATTTCAATGGGGGGAAATTGCTTTGAGATACGAGCAAATTGACTAAAGAGCAAGGTTACGGAACGAATAAAATTCGTATCGTGAGTACCACTGTATCTATGCACTTTTAGAATGATAGCGTCAGGACAAATCTAATGTATCTATGCACTTTTAGAATGATAGCGTCAGGACAAATCTAATGTATCTATGCACTTTCTTAATGATACCGTGAGGACAAATCTAATGTATCTATGCACTTTTTTAATGATAGCGTCAGGACAAATCTTATGTATCTATGCACTTTTTTAATGATAGCGTCAGGACAAATCTAATGTATCTATGCACTTTTTTAATGATAGCGTCAGGACAAATCTAATGTATCTATGCACTTTTTTAATGATAGCGTCAGGACAAATCTTATGTATCTATGCACTTTTTTAATGATAGCGTCAGGACAAATCTTATGTATCTATGCACTTTTTTAATGATAGCGTCAGGACAAATCTTATGTATCTATGCACTTTTTTAATGATAGCGTCAGGACAAATCTTATGTATCTATGCACTTTTTTAATGATAGCGTCAGGACAAATCTTATGTATCTATGCACTTTTTTAATGATAGCGTCAGGACAAATCTTATGTATCTATGCACTTTTTTAATGATAGCGTCAGGACAAATCTTATGTATCTATGCACTTTTTTAATGATAGCGTCAGGACAAATCTTATGTATCTATGCACTTTTTTAATGATAGCGTCAGGACAAATCTTATGTATCTATGCACTTTTTTAATGATAGCGTCAGGACAAATCTTATGTATCTATGCACTTTTTTAATGATAGCGTCAGGACAAATCTTATGTATCTATGCACTTTTTTAATGATAGCGTCAGGACAAATCTTATGTATCTATGCACTTTTTTAATGATAGCGTCAGGACAAATCTTATGTATCTATGCACTTTTTTAATGATAGCGTCAGGACAAATCTTATGTATCTATGCACTTTTTTAATGATAGCGTCAGGACAAATCTTATGTATCTATGCACTTTTTTAATGATAGCGTCAGGACAAATCTTATGTATCTATGCACTTTTTTAATGATAGCGTCAGGACAAATCTTATGTATCTATGCACTTTTTTAATGATAGCGTCAGGACAAATCTTATGTATCTATGCACTTTTTTAATGATAGCGTCATGACAAATCTTATGTATCTATGCACTTTTTGAATCCACCTAAGTTAATCCTCAAGCTGGCCACAGCCAAGGAGACTATTAAACAACAAATTAAAATGTTTAAAGATGTCTTCTAAATAAACACGGTTTATGGTTTATGACTATCATGTTTACTAAGTTTGGTCTAAATGACAATATGACTGTCATGTTTACCATGTTTGGTCTAAATGACAATATGACTGTCATGTTTACCATGTTTGGTCTAAATGACAATATGACTGTCATTTTTACCATGTTTGGTCTAAATGACAATATGACTGTCATGTTTACTAAGTTTGGTCTAAATGACAATATGACTGTCATGTTTACTAAGTTTGGTCTAAATGACAATATGACTGTCATGTTTACTAAGTTTGGTCTAAATGACAATATGACTGTCATTTTTACCATGTTTGGTCTAAATGACAATATGACAGTTATGATTACCAAGTTTGGTCTAAATGACAATATGACTGTCATTTTTACCATGTTTGGTCTAAATGACAATATGACAGTTATGATTACCAAGTTTGGTCTAAATGACAATATGACAGTTATGTTTACCAAGTTTGGTCTAAATGACAATATGACAGTTATGTTTACTAAGTTTTGTCTAGATGAAAATATGAGAGTTATGTTTACAAATTATGGTCTAGATGACATTATGACAGTTATGTTTAAAAAATTTGGTCTAGATGATATTATGACAGTTATTTTTACAAAGTTTGGTCTAGATGACATTACAATATTTATGTTTACCAAGATTGGTCTAGATGACATTATAAGAGTTATGGTTACCAAGTTTGGTCTAGATGACATTATGACAGTTATGGTCACCAAGTTTGGTCTATAATGACATTATGACAGTTATGATTACCAAGTTTTGTCAATGACATTATGACAGTTATGTTTAACAATTTTGGTCTAGATGATATTACAATATTTATGTTTACCAAGATTGGTCTAGATGACATTATGACAGTTATGATTACCAAGCTTGGTCTAGAGGACATGACAGTTATGATTACCAAGCTTGGTCTAGATGACATTATGACAGTTATGATTACCAAGCTTGGTCTAGATGACATTATGACAGTTATGATTACCAAGCTTGGTCTAGATTACATTATGACAAAACTCGGCCCCAAAACTCGGCCCCAAACCTCGGTCACAAATAGTTTTACAATCACAAAAGGAAGTGAACCTTACTCTACACTGAAGTTAGCTGTAACACAAAAAGGGAAGTGATCTTACCCGATCCAGAGCCTGCTGACGTATTACACGCTACTGTGAACGATTGGCTGCCTGGAAATATATTTCAATTAAAATGTCACCACATTTTTAACACGTTAAAACATTATTTCAATTAAAATATCACGACATTTTTAACAATGTAAAGCATTTAGCGTACTGTTGTGCCTGTCTTATAGGCGATTCTCATTGATTGTCTTTTAGATGTATTATTATTACTCTTGTACGGAGTTAGGTCTACACGCATTGGTCTACACGCATTGGCTTACACGCATTGGCCTACACGCATCGGCCTACATGCATCGGCCTACATGCATCGGTCTACATGCATCGGTCTACATGCATCGGTCTACATGCATCGGTCTACATGCATTGGTCTACTTGGAAGGTTGACAGAGGTGGCCACACTCATTGGACGGCCGCGGCTGAGCGTTTGAAAAATGAACTCGAGAGAAGACGATATTGAAATCAGGAATCGGAGATCAAAAGGTTCAAGCTGGTGAACAGCGGTGTGTGAAGGAGTCAAACAGGAAGATTGGGCATGAAACTAATCCCTGATCAGCTAAGGTCAGAAGGTTAGGAAACAAAATGTCTTTCCCGTAATGAAACGCCGACGAACCTGCTCCATCTTCTCAAGATGACGGCAGATGACGTATATATATATATATTTTTTTTTTTAAATAAATAAACTTCTATTGGTCAGTGTGGGTTAAATCGTGTAGCTTGAGACAGTTCATTATTTCAGATATTTCAATAGTGATGTTCATAAGGGCGCGATAATGGATCACTCTAAATAAATGTGTTCGTTTTTTTTAAAAAAAGAAGAATATTATCTGATGGCACGAAGGGCCGGCGCTAGGAGGGTGCGGCAATGGATTAATTTGTTATATTTTTTAAAAAGAATACTATCTGATAAAAGGAGTCCGTTTTTGATGGGGGTTTTTTTCTCTTCTTCTTCTTTTTTTTTTCCTTTTTTTTTTTGACGTCTTCATTTTGCGTAATAGATGAAGGGCCCAAGGAGTCTTATTTTAAAATCCGATCTCTTCTCCTTACCATAGCTAGGCCAAAAGGTCTCATAAATTATGATGTACTTATAAGCATCAACCATAATTAGTTATCATCAAACAGTTAGCTTAAAAACATGTTATGTTACATACAATATGTTATATATAATAATTTATAAAAAAAATATAAAAATGTATATTCTGATAATTAAAAAAAAAAACAGACTATTCTTTATGATCAACATGAACAACATACGCTATTCTTTATGATCAAGATGTCAAAAACATACGAAGATTTCTCATTCATATAAATTAGACGAAAAAAAAATGTCCTAACCACTCATTTCTATCCAGACAAGTCCGGTAACCCTGGACAACTCAAAGGTTCCATAACTGAGACAAACTTCTGGTAAAGAGTGGCTCATGCTGAAATGAAGAAACAAATTCAACAAAAAAACAACAAATAGTTACGACGGCCACCTTAAAATGCGCGTGAAGGAGAGTGGTGCGTTCTTGTGTGTTTTTCTGTGTGTGTGTGTGTGTGTGTGTAACAGACCGTGTTAATCATGCCAATGACGCAGATTTTTCACATGACACTAATATTCATTCTGACGACGCATTGGTGTAGTGATATGATATGAAGAATGAAAAATACGAGAAAAGGGAACTATGTTTGGTAGCGGAAGAAGAATTCATGTGTTTTTAAGTAGGGCGGGAGTGAAGGAAATATCTTGGATGTGAGAGGACATGTTGAGTTTTCTAATGGATTATTGGATTAATATTAGATGGATTGTTATTGAATGTGTGTATACAAATATTCTTTGCATTGAAACTTTGATTGTTGCAAAGATATCCTGATATCAAGGAATTATTTGACTTATTTAAAATGTGTAATGAAGTGCTGTGTATATTATTCATTTTGACATTGTGGGCAGCAAATGAATTGTGAATGAATTGACAATTCTTTTGCTGCCCACGGATACTACTTCTAAGCTAAGTGCTATTTTTAATTTTAATTTGTTTTTTTTTTCTGTTGTTTTGTTCGCTGACGAAGGCTTCCTGCCGAAACGTTCGTTGTTTTGTTCCCTTTTTTTAGGTTTAACCGAACTTTTTTTTACTCAGTTTTGAGGAGTGGAAGGAATGATTCAAATAGCAGCGGCGAGCCATCGCTTACATTGAGCGCACAGTGTTAACTAACATTGTACGAGCAACCTCATGGAATCACAGGCGCCAGCCTCCATAAAAAGATTACAATAAACCATTGTTAAATTGGTGTCAGTCAGGACTCAAGAGGTTCAGAGCTGTTGCTTGTTGCCGCCAGTTTCCAATGTTTCAAGTATTGTTGTATGGCTTTACCCAGTTCGAAACAGCAGTTATGGGTCAGCAAGCCAACAGTTTAATAGAAAGTCAGATAGTATAATAGAAAGTCAATTAGTATAATAGAAATTCAAATAGTATAATAGAAAGTCAATTAGTATAATAGAAATTCAAATAGTATAATAGATAGTCAATTAGTATAATAGAAATTCAAATAGTATAATAGAAAGTCAATTAGTATAATAGAAATTCAAATAGTGTAATAGAAAGTCAATTAGTATAATAGAAATTCAAATAGTATAATAGAAAGTCAATTAGTATAATAGAAATTCAAATAGTATAATAGAAAGTCAATTATTATAATAAAAAATCAAATAGTATAATAGAAAGTCAATTAGTATAATAGACATTCAAATAGTATAATAGAAAGTCAATTAGTATAATAGAAATTCAAATAGTATAATAGAAAGTCAATTAGTATAATAGAAAGCCAATTAGTATAATATAAAGTCAATAAGTATAAGAGAAAGTCAAATATAATAATAGAAAGTCAAATAGAATAATAGAAAGTCAAATAGAATAATAGAAAGTCAAATAGAATAATAGAAAGTCAAATAGAATAATAGAAAGTCAAATAGATTCCTGGGGCCAATTGATGTTAACCACTTGTCTACAAATCTGTAGTCAGTTATTTTATTGACTGTGAAACAATAAAACCGATAAATCAATATGGGTTGATCCACCTAGTGACAGTTATGGGTTGATCCACCAAGTGACAGTTATGGGTTGATCCACCTAGTGACAGTTATGGGTTGATCCACCAAGTGACAGTTATGGGTTGATCCACCAAGTGACAGTTATGGGTTGATCCACCAAGTGACAGTTATGGGTTGATCCACCTAGTGACAGTTATGGGTTGATCCACCAAGTGACAGTTATGGGTTGATCCACCAAGTGACAGTTATGGGTTGATCCACCAAGTGACAGTTATGGGTTGATCCACCTAGTGACAGTTATGGGTTGATCCACCAAGTGACAGTTATGGGTTGATCCACCAAGTGACAGTTATGGGTTGATCCACCAAGTGACAGTTATGGGTTGATCCACCTAGTGACAGTTATGGGTTGATCCACCAAGTGACAGTTATGGGTTGATCCACCAAGTGACAGTTATGGGTTGATCCACCAAGTGACAGTTATGGGTTGATCCACCTAGTGACAGTTATGGGTTGATCCACCAAGTGACAGTTATGGGTTGATCCACCAAGTGACAGTTATGGGTTGATCCACCTAGTGACAGTTTGCTTATGGGAGGTCTCTTCTTTCAAGGTTTACAGAGTGAATGCTCATACTGTTGTTTAACTAGAAATGTTAAACATCAACCCAACTCTGTGTGATTGGAACAGATGTGTCACATTGAAGCATGGGAAGTTGAGAATTAGATGTCATCCCCAAACCCCCCCCCCTTTTCCTTTGTCCCATCAACACATGGAATTTTAAGCAATTTTAAACTGAAAAAAATGTACGTTTCAAATGAAAATGTTCGCTAATTTAAACCGCGTCTTATATTGATATCATGAAAAGACTTGTCATTATGATATCATTAAAAGACTTGTCATTCTGATATCATGAAAAGACTTGTCATACTGATATCATGAAAAGAGTTGTCATACTGATATCATGAAAAGACTTGTCATACTGATATCATGAAAAGAGTTGTCATACTGATATCATGAAAAGAGTTGTCATACTGATATCATGAAAAGAGTTGTCATACTGATATCATGAAAAGAGTTGTCATACTGATATCATGAAAAGACTTGTCATACTGATATCATGAAAAGACTTGTCATACTGATATCATGAAAAGACTTGTCATACTGATATCATGAAAAGACTTGTCATACTGATATCATGAAAAGACTTGTCATACTGATATCATGAAAAGACTTGTCATACTGATATCATGAAAAGACTTGTCATACTGATATCATGAAAAGACTTGTCATACTGATATCATGAAAAGACTTGTCATACTGATATCATTAAAAGACTTGTCATTATGATATCATTAAAAGACTTGTCATTCTGATATCATGAAAAGACTTGTCATACTGATATCATGAAAAGAGTTGTCATACTGATATCATGAAAAGACTTGTCATACTGATATCATGAAAAGACTTGTCATTATGATATCATGAAAAGACTTGTCATTCTGATATCATGAAAAGACTTGTCATACTGATATCATGAAAAGAGTTGTCATACTGATATCATGAAAAGACTTGTCATACTGATATCATGAAAAGAGTTGTCATACTGATATCATGAAAAGAGTTGTCATACTGATATCATGAAAAGAGTTGTCATACTGATATCATGAAAAGAGTTGTCATACTGATATCATGAAAAGACTTGTCATACTGATATCATGAAAAGACTTGTCATACTGATATCATGAAAAGACTTGTCATACTGATATCATGAAAAGACTTGTCATACTGATATCATGAAAAGAGTTGTCATACTGATATCATGAAAAGACTTGTCATACTGATATCATGAAAAGACTTGTCATACTGATATCATGAAAAGACTTGTCATACTGATATCATGAAAAGACTTGTCATTATAATATCATTAAAAGACTTGTCATTCTGATATCATGAAAAGACTTGTCATACTGATATCATGAAAAGACTTGCCATTATGATATCATTAAAAGACTTGTCATTCTGATATCATGAAAAGACTTGTCATACTGATATCATGAAAAGAGTTGTCATACTTATATCATGAAAAGACTTGTTATACTGATATCATGAAAAGAGTTGTCATACTGATATCATGAAAAGAGTTGTCATACTAATAGCATGAAAAGACTTGTCATACTGATATCATGAAAAGAGTTGTCATACTGATATCATTAAAAGACTTGTCATTCTGATATCATGAAAAGACTTGTCATACTGATATCATGAAAAGAGTTGTCATACTGATATCATGAAAAGACTTGTCATACTGATATCATGAAAAGAGTTGTCATACTGATATCATGAAAAGAGTTGTCATACTAATATCATGAACAGACTTGTCATACTGATATCATGAAAAGAGTTGTCATACTGATATCATGAAAAGAGTTGTCATACTGATATCATGAAAAGAGTTGTCATACTGATATCATGAAATGACTTGTCATTATGATATCATTAAAAGACTTGTCATTCTGATATCATGAAAAGACTTGTCATACTGATATCATGAAAAGAGTTGTCATACTGATATCATGAAAAGACTTGTCATACTGATATCATGAAAAGACTTGTCATACTGATATCATGAAAAGACTTGTCATACTGATATCATGAAAAGACTTAAAATACATTCTTAAAACTAACTTTTGTGTGTCATTATCATCAAATATGGGGGACGAGAGTTTTAACCGAGCTTCTCATTAAAATAACTAGTTCGAGTTTACTCTAGACTCAATCGAAACTGTTGAAACTATATAGGAATATTCTTCGGGTACAATAGACTGCGTTTCATTTTCATAATCATGTATAAGAGATTTGATCGCTTTTTGATAATGAAGGTATATCATCTTAGTGTTTTTTTTACCTGTACCAATCAATGTTCCCTTCCTGATTCCCAAGACAAGACTTGCCAGTCAATTTTTGAACTGATGTCAAATCCGCATGCATCAAAGTGACATGTATCTGAACGTTGGGGCCAGACATCTCACATCGACTGTGTTCAATGGTCTCATTCGCCCCCAACACAAGATAGTATTTTTTTTTTCCATTTCCAGGGTTTGTTATTGTCTTGATGAATCCTCTCTTAATATCAAACACGTCGTTGTCATCGGGCGCTGGAGGAACGGGGGTGGGATTTTAGAAAAATAAAAATAATTAAAGATGACACAATGTAATAAATTTACACCATGTTCTATTCATCTATCATTAAAATAAATTTAGTCATTGCAAGCGATAATTGATTGCTGTGAATGACAGTTTATACGAAAGACTAACAGTTCGATTACTTGAATTAAATTATTGTGTGAAGAGACAGGCATTTTGAATTCATCAACGATCATAAATACATGCTTAAATTGGAAAAGTGCATTATATATATAATTATAAAAATAGATAAATAAATTTAACCTACCCAAAGGTTTGCACATATATTATAACCTACCCAAAGGTTTGCACATATAATTTAATCTACCCAAAGGTTTGCACACATAATATAACCTACCCAAAGGTTTGCACACATAATATAACCTACCCAAATGTTTCCACACATGATATAACCTACCCAAAGATTTGCACACATAATATAACCTACCCAAGGGTTTACACACATGATATAACCTACCCAAAGGTTTGCACACATAACTTAATTCGAAGCTCTCTGCTGGCTTTGAACCACATGTGACTTTTCGAAGCACGAGTCTCAAACCGCTGACAAAGTAACAACGATCTTTGCCACCACAGGCTTTCCTTATAGTCTGCATTAAGTGGTTGTCAGTTGAGTTGGTTAAATTCAGGTTTCTTTCGCATTTGCCATCATCTGTCTGTTAGAAACACAGTTTATTTGCTTTAAACATGATACTATTAAAATTCCAATTGAAAAATAACAGATTCATGCATATTTATCATTCATGATACCCACCAGATGCTTCCTTCCCCACCACATGCTTCCTTCCCCATCACGATCACCTCCCATCTTAAATTCTCTCCTCCCCCCCCCCACACACACCCATACCATCTTAACTCACTCAGCACCCGCCAGGCTGTGAGTCTCACCACCAATGAAATCTTCTCAAGATTCACTTCAATCCTTTCCACAAAACTTACTTTGTTTTCATTTAAAAGAGTTTTGAATCTGAATACCATAAACTGTTTTTAAAAAACTAATTAATTAAATAACAGATTAGAACATCCTTTCCTCTACATAGAAAACAAGCGAGGGAAAAAGGGAACCTTGAAAAAGGTTTGATCCTGCGGGAAAACAGACACGTATCCTTGCTTCTGACGCCTGTTGCGACCAGACCTCCCTCGATTGGTGGCAACCATTTCAATAGTTACCAAGGATGATGCTTGGGGTGTGATTAAAAAGAGCGCACTTCTCTTTTTTGAAAATTATTTAGCCACCCCGCCCCCCAAAAACGCTTTTTATTTTTAGATTGAATTTTTTTTTTCCTTTAGATCTTCTGGGATTTAACTTATTTAGTTCAAATTTCCAAGTACCTAAGATAATTAAACACTGCCTATCTTACTATATGCAATAATAGTCATACATGAGTCGCAACAATGCCCGCTACAATAAAGAGAGATACTTTTTTTTTTAATTAATAAGTCGTAGATGATGTTAGCTGAAATAAAATTAACTATGAGATCATTTAAAAACTTTCGCCCAATTCAATTCCTTGTTCAACTCAAAGCCGCACAGAACGGTCCTACAATGGTGGTCCTACAATGGTGGTCCTACAATGGTGGTCCTACAATGGTGGTCCTACAATGGTGGTCCTACAATGGTGGTCCTACAATGGTGGTCCTACAATGGTGGTCCTACAATGGTGGTACTACAATGGTGGTACTACAATGGTGGTACTACAATGGTGGTTACTAGCACTTACGTTGTGGATTTGAACTGTTTGGACATGTAGTCCTTGACCTTCGCTCTTATCGCAAGCCTCGGACTCGTTAAGGGGAGGATATGTGAAAGCGTCTGGCTGGATATCTTTTGAATCTACGCTCAGAAACTTGACGTTATCACTGCAGACTGAAAACACATGAACATAATTTGGTCGAAATCAGTGGAGCTGGTGTTGGTGGCATCTACTGCGATAAAGTCACACGTGATATAGTGATTTAACTGGCGGAACCATGGCTCGGTTACACCCTTCTCTGTCTGGCGGCACCATGGTTTGGCTCTACGCCGCCCCCTCTGGTTGCAACACAATCTGATGACACCCTGCTCTTGTTTTTAACCAAGACTTGTCATGGAACAGATTCGAGTTAGCAATGTTTTATCTGTAAATGTTTTTTTTTTTTTAAATGTCACCTCCCTCTGATTGCATCGCCTCGTTCCCGGTCCGATCTACTTCACTTCCGTAATGTCACTAAGTACAACGTTTAGCAATTTATATTTGTTAAAATCATTATTATTATTATTATTCTTTGAGATTTCTTTGATTATTAGCGATATTTATATACAAAATTGTCTCAGTTACATAAGGGTATTCCCTTTTTTTTCCGTTTCTCTAATTCTATCATTTAAATCTTCAGAAAAAAAAGAAACCATTTTTGTTTGTGAGCCAGTTACCAAGAATTGATATTTTAATCCCAAGCTTAACACATTGTGTTTCAATAATCACAAAGCATTGATCTACATCGAAACATAATTTATTAATTCAAAGAATAAGTTTGTTAGGATATCACTATTGTAAAATCAATATCTGAAAAAATATGATTTAAAAAAAACACACTTTCTTAAGCCTACCTTCTGATACATGGTTAAGTAGAAGATAGATTTCCAGTAAGGGGATCTTTCGTAGTAAGCATATCATATGCATAGTTCTCAGTAGGATTGGAGAGCGCGACTCTGAAATGATAGAAATACGCAATGAAATTACGGCTAATCAAAAGTTAAAAGCAAAATAAAATATAGTACTTTAGACTTAACATGTTGTTGTTCTGCTTTCATCTTAACACATTTTAACAGTTTAATCAGCGTATGTGTGTGGTGTGGTTGAAGTGAATTGAATAATCTTCATTGACTACCCTTTCATTACTAATAGAATAGAATGACGGCAAGCTTTTTGAACACAGCGAGATTTTTTTAACATGGTGAAATTTTTAACATTGCAAGATTTTTTTTAACATGGTGAGATGTTTTTAACATGGTGAGATGTTTTTAACATGTTGAGATTTTTTTAACATGTTGAGATTTTTTTAACATGGTGAGATGTTTTTAACATGGTGAGATTTTTTTTAACATGGTGAGATGTTTTTAACATGGTGAGATTTTTTTCAACACGGTGAGACTTTTTTTTAACATCACCTACTTTACCGTACATCCATTTATTTTTACAAATCATAAATATTAGAATAAAATACCATTTGATATAAAAATAAGTCTTACACACTTAAAAAAACAATGTGAATAATATAAACAAACACATATTCCAATGTACACACATCCAACAATGTCATACACACAGCCAACAATGTCATACACACAGCCAACAATGTCATACACACAGCCAACAATGTCATACACACAGCCAACAATGTCATACACACAGCCAACAATGTCATACACACAGCCAGCAATGTCATACACACAGCCAGCAATGTCATACACACAGCCAGCAATGTCATACACACAGCCAGCAATGTCATACACACAGCCAGCAATGTCATACACACAGCCAGCAATGTCATACACACAGCCAGCAATGTCATACACACAGCCAGCAATGTCATACACACAGCCAACAATGTCATACACACAGCCAACAATGTCATACACACAGCCAACAATGTCATACACACAGGTTTACATCTGTTGAAAGTTAACTATGAATGATTAATTAGGATCTCATTTATGTACCATCGTCAACACTTAGAAAAGCCACATTAAATGTGTCCTCTCGGCTAGAAGGAAGTTGTATGTCTAGACTTTCAAACAACGTTTCTGTGTTTGGCAGGGTTTAGACTAAGTGTGACTGACGCCAGGTCCTACACTTTTTGCCATGATATATGATCAGTGTCTACACAATCCAGTTGTGTTCAACCTGGCTCTTTCTCAATTTTTTTTTATCTCGGTTCAGCTGGATGTCAAGATTTTTAAAGACAAGCTACAGGTAAAGTTACATGAACTCCCACATCTCTACTTAAGAATCACGGGCCCCACATACTGACAACAAAGGGACGCAGCTGCAACAATACAGTAACGACAGCAATTACAACTGTCTCCGCCAAGACGTAAAGGCGAAAACAGTACCACCATTTCAGAGACTGTTGCAGAGAAATTGAAGAGAATGATGCAGAGTAGGTGAAGTGAGTGTTGCAGAGATAGTCAAGAGACTGTTGCAAAGGAATTGAGGCTCATTTTTTGTTGACAGGTTTACTTCTGATGTGCTTCTTGGGAAGACGCTTGCCTGGGAAGACATCAACATGCACAAATATGTTCAAGGTGCCCTAAGTACATTTTTGTAGTGAGAAGGGCGGAGGAAGTGGGGGTCAGCATTGGATGTGTCAAAATTTAATTCTGCCTGTTTTGGACTAAGGGGCTTTTTAAAGAAAAAAATAATGGTTGCTTTGTGATAGTATGGCCTTACAGAAGGGTAAAGATAATATAGGTTGCTTTGTGAGTAGTATGGCCTTACAGAAGGGTAAAGATAATATAGGTTGCTTTGTTAGTATTCTGTCGTTAGAGTAGGGTAAGAGAAGAGACGCATTTTAGAAGCAGAGAAAAAAAAGAGGGCCTAGAAGCAAGGAGGAGAAGAAGAGAGATTATAGCAAAAAGCATTATTGCTCTCTAGGAATATTTTGTATTACAGGGGGGGGGGTAAACGTTATGATGCTGGGAATGTTTAGCTTTTTTTTCCCTTTATTTTTTTTTATTTCATTTGGGGTGGGGGTAGATAAAAATTAATTTTTTTTTTTACACGTATCATTTATTGAATTTTCTTTTAAAAAGAAGGCGCAGGTGTCACAATAGTACACCTTTATGCAAAATTTTTTGTTTGAAACAAAATATTTTAGTATCAAATTTCATTTGTGCATGATCTCATTCGTGTCAGTTTTGACGAGTGTTGGGTTATTGGAAGCATTGTATGTCAGAAACCAACCATCAAATTAGAACGACATCTGTTAGCAGCATGATTGTTATATACACTATCCCAGATGGTGTTGATACTAGAGATAGTTTGTATCCTGATAAGTATATAAAATAGCAATTAATTCATCCCGTTTGTGAATTTGTTGACGTGAAATGCAAAAAAAAAAATAAAAAAAAAAATAAAAAATAAATTCTGACTTAATGAAGGGTTCTTAGGGTTCTAACTTTTAGCATTTTGACTACCTGTTCCCCCCCTCCCCCCACCCCCCCCCCACACCCCCCGCCCTTGAATACAAAATCTTCTTAGATAAATGCGTCACATTGAATATTTGTAAATACGTTATTTTTCGGTTGTTGTTTTTTTCCGCAATAGTTTTTATCACACACACGCCCGCACTTTTTCTCTTTCTCTCTCTCCCTCTCTCTCACCTGTCTCTCCCTCAGCACCTCTCTCTCTTAGCCTTTCTCTCTCTCTCTATATATATCTCTCTCTCTCACACATATACCAAACAAGAGTACATTGCAGAGAAGATTAGACTTTGCGAGTGGTGACCCGAAAAAAAAAACAACTAATTAAAACAATCATTCCATTGAATATTTTATCAACTATTTGATGTGGAAATGGAAGAGAGTTCGATGGTTCTACCTTACAGCGTCTTACCTTGTTGTTATATATTATTATTTTAATTCCTTGAGAAATACAGTTTGGCTTGCAAATTTTTGGTGATGAAAATTGAATTAGAGACAGTAAAAAAAAAAGTCTAAATATAATTTCGTGTCGTGAGTTGATAAGATGCGACTGTACACACACACACGTATGTTAGTGACACAGACGCGTGGGAAACATGTTGTGAGACTCACAAGATTGCCACACTTGAGACCAGGACGCAGTGACTCACGGTCATTGTCATCAAGAGCCGGTCGACATTTAATGCTATCCGACATACGGCTGGATGAAACTTGGAAAGAACTTTTCGTGGCCGATATTTTCAATCACATTTAGGATCCAGTCGTGGCTTGTGTTGTTGGTGCACAGATTTCATTCATTGTTCGTTCATCATAGATGTGGAAGATGAATTTGATGGATTGAAAAAAAATAGCTTAATTCAGTTAAAACTGTTTTTTTTTTTTTTTTTTAAATTTTTTTGTAATCATTGTTGGCTTTTTTTTTTTAACGATCGGCTTTTTTAAGACCAAAATTTCATCATAGATGTGGAAGATGAATTTGATGGATTGAAAAAAAATAGCTTAATTCAGTTAAAACTGTTTTTTTTTTTTTTTTTAAATTTCTATGTAATCATTGCTGGCTTATTATCTTGAACGATCGGCTGTTTTCAGACCAAAATGGTGTAATGAGCTGCTTTGTTTAAGTCCAACTTGAATTACTTGTTAGCTACTTAAAAATAAAAACTAGAAATAAAATAATAACTAAAAGAATATTTTTAAGAATTTTTTTTTTTTAAAAGGAGCAACGTATTTGTTTTGCAATGCATTTAATTCACTCATGAGAACACATCCAGTGTTTCTTTCAGGCATCTCTCGGGGTGAGGGAGGGGGTGGCCGTAGTGCCGCCCCCCCCCCTCCCCGTGGGGGCAAGTCAAGATTCACGTTTCAAGCAAGATTCATCGGGCCCTCGATTTCTACCCTACGTCCAGATGAAAATGACCGCTAATTTTGGTGACGATACATACCGCACTTACGTATAAAAAAAACCAGTGACACCTGGGTGAACAACTTCATCCTCCCTTTTTCTACACCACTACCAGGGGCGTAACTTAAACGTTTGGCGTCAGGGGGCATGATCGATTTTTACGCTCTACATCCCCCCCACCCTTCAGCACTGAAACTCATTCTTTTGAGCCATTAAATACCGTCAAAGCCTATTTTGGTACCCCCCTCCCCCGCTAATCTGACGCCCAGGGACGCAAGTCCCATCTGCCGCCTGTCGAGAATCCCTGATGATTTAAGTTAGAGACTTTATGAAAGTAGTCCCGGCGTGTATGTGAAAGAGTGGCTGGCGTAGGAATTCGTGCAAACCCCATTACGTTTCTATTGGTTCATTGTGATACCTGTATCTCAACAACACAATTAAATGATAGGTTTGACATTTTAATGAAACTCAATAACCATAATGCTTCAAAATAACAAATTATGCGTAGAATTAGATTGTATCTCATTGGGAAAAATATAAATCAATATGTGATTTTTAGTAAAGTTCAGGGGTGTGTAAACAATATTTTTGCGCCCGTGAGGGCTACAATCCCCATGGATGATTTAATAAGTTTTACGTGAATGACAATATGTTTAAATGAAACGATATGACCATGGGCGCCCGCAGAAAACTTTCTGGGGGGGGGGGGCAAAAAAAATCGATTAACTTTCCAGGGGCAAATTTTTTTTAGTAATGTTTTAATATAGTTTCAATTTACTGCAGCTTATTTGTATGGTGAACGAACAGACAGGACATCAGCTTAGTTACTTTCTCTTTATTTTCTCTTTACTTTAATACATTTTTTGTCTACTTTTGTCTAAATTTTTTATCCAATCAATCCAGGGGGGGGGGGCAAGTGCCCCTCCTTGCCCCTACCTGCGGGGGCCCATGGATATGACAGTTGTGAGAAAGAGATTTTATATTCTCTTCTCTTTTTTTTTTAAAAACAAACCATTATCTTTACCAATTTAGGCAATCAATGGCGTTAACAGAATGTGGGTACATTAACATAAGTGTACCATGAATATCAAAACCCAATCATTTTACACACGTGAAAATAGGGATAGGTTAAGAATATTTTTTTTTCCATTAACAATCAAATCTATTTGTGTTTTTTTTTGGGGGGGGGGAAATAAAGCGGATGTTTCTTATTATTATTATGAGATAAATAGCATTTCTGTACAGTTGACACGGTAGGCTGTTACAGGCGTCAACAACGGTTAAAGAGACATTTCTGTACAGTTGACACGCTAGGCTGTTACAGGCGTCAACAACGGTTAAAGAGACATTTCTGTACAGTTGACACGCTAGGCTGTTCCAGGCGTCAACAACGGTTAAAGAGACATTTCTGTACAGTTGACACGCTAGGCTGTTACAGGCGTCAACAACGGTTAAAGAGACATTTCTGTACAGTTGACACGCTAGGCTGTTACAGGCGTCAACAACGGTGAAAGAGACATTTCTGTACAGTTGACACGCTAGGCTGTTGCAGGCGTGAACAACGGTGAAAGAGATTCTTCTTTAGATAAAATAATTCTTTGTTTTACGATTCTCCCATAATGTAGTTGAAAACAAAGGCAAACGTTTGGTTAAATTTGTTTAATGAAGATATCATTAGATCAAATTCCGTTAATATAAACTATATGTCAAATGTTATGTAGAGTCTTTGTAGTAAATTTAAGATTAAGTTTTCACACTTTTAAAGGGAAAAAAAACAAAACATTTTAGTTTAGGGGCAAGAAAAGCAGAGGCGTAGCGAGGGTGTTTGGCACCCGGGGACAAGATTCACGCCCGGGGGGGCAAGATCCATTTTAAAGCGCCCCCTTTTCTTTTTTTCAACTCTCAAACCTATTATTTTTACCAATAATATAATATCAAAGCACATTTTGGCGCCCCTAACTAGCTTGCGCCCGGGGACATATGTCCCCCTGCCCCCCCCTCACTATGCCTCTGAAGAGAAGTCGTAGGGTAGGCCCAACATTTAACAGTGGTTTTAAAGACACAAGACATCTAAAGTATTTCTCTGGCGTAGAAATCAGCTGTCAATGAACTCCTTTAGGTACATTAATGATTTAATTCGTGATCGTTTAGTTTTTTGCAGCTTAAGGTCATGTTCCAACAACAGCTGCCCAAGAGCACCGTTGAAACCTCAGGGAACTCCCGGTTGCTGGAGCCACGCACCGTTGACAACCGCACGCACGCGTTCAAGATGCGCTCGTTTCATTCCTGTCACTGTTAAATGTTGGGCGTGTAAAGCAAAAAAAACAAAAACTCTGCATCTTCCCAAAACTTAATTTTTATCATCCCCAAATAATCATAAAGTTTAACTCTATCATTGCTCCACTGCAATGTGATGAGACGTGTTTCTACACACCATCAGCAGATACAGGTGCTGAACGGTGTGTTGGCGGTGTGTCAGCACGGCGAAGTATCAGCTACATAATACAGTGACACGATTCTAAACTTTATCCCACTGTATTTCCTCCCCCCCCCCTCAAACCACACGCCACCACTATATATACAAGTAAAAATGTGCGAAGTCAAATGCTATAAAATGGAGAAAGCTTGAGATAATTTGTGAGCCCCTACAAAATTATGTTCCCTGCTACTTCATATAGCTGTAGAGTATATGAGTTTCCGGTGGTCCTAGGGGGCCTTTTGAAACCCACAGGTTGAGAACCGCTGTTCTAATCAAACATTATAAACATTATGACTTTTTTTTTTTTTTTAAATTAGTTTTCACTAAATATGATCGAAAGATTGCCTTCCTTAAACTGACTTAGTGTGTTCGATTCCAAAGTTTGAATGTGAAGGGCATTTATTTTAAAACAACTTGTGTCTCAAACATAATTATATAGACAAAAGAATTATATTTTGTGTACAAGTTCGAAACTAGAATGCTTCCAACTTAAAATTTAGAAAATTGAAAATATAACAACATTGAACATTCTAGAATGGTAAACATGGAAATTACATTACAAGAAGGCGGGCTCAAATATGTAATTTTATACAAAAAATTATATTAGAAATCTGAAGTTCTTGATAATGTCTATCAACTCTGTATGTAATGATAGTTACACATTGTGGTAGAACGATGCTATATTTAGGAATACGACAGTTGAACACGACAACGGTCGTACATTCTTCCCCCGTTTGTCGTTTCCCAAACCGTTGCATCTATGCCAGTACGTGGTTGCAGCAACGTAGTCTATCAGCATCAATCAGAATCAGCATCAGAATCAGCATCAGAATCAGCATCAGAATCAGCATCAGAATCAGCATCAGAATCAGCATCAGAATCAGCATCAGAATCAGCATCAGAATCAGCATCAGAATCAGCATCAGAATCAGCATCAGAATCAGAATCAGCATCAGAATCAGCATCAGAATCAGCATCAGAATCAGCATCAGAATCAGCATCAGAATCAGCATCAGAATCAGCATCAATGAGAATAAGCATCAGCATCAGAATCAGCATCAGAATCAGCATCAGAATCAGCATCAGAATCAGCATCAGAATCAGCATCAGAATCAGCATCAGAATCAGCATCAATGAGAATAAGCATCAGCATCAGAATCGTGGTTTAACAGCTCCCAGGCTCTCATGAAGACGAGCGAATCACCGCGAGGTAGGATTCTTTATTGAGATTATATCGAATATTCTCGTAATTAGAGCACAGAAATCCTATGTCAAGACCCTCCAAAGATGATCTTTACCATTATTAGACCCATGGGTGGGTGCCCGAATACGCAGGCCCACAGCCTGGACGTACAGAAATGTGAATGATAATACAAAGCCGTACAACCGACTCAGACAAACGAGCGCGCGCTGCGTATCATTTTCACAATCTGCATCAACTTTTTTTTTTAAACGAGTACATGTTTTAGTTGAAGAAAATCCCGAGGGCTCACATTTATTTTGTGTCATCTTAAGCCCTCTTCTCCATCTCGCACCTGAATCTAACATCAAATCGAACCAGAACCAGACAACTTCCATTACTTGTGGATAGTCTGGTTAGATTTCATTTATCTATCCTTTGAAGTAATCCATAATATTATTTTAATGGCATGCTGCGTGCTGGTCGAGATCTACCCCAACAAAAATAAGCGACCCCCCCCCCCCCCCCCCACAAAAAAGATTAGGAAAAAGGCGGGAGGTCGTTACATTGAGATGTTTGACATTTAGTGACATATTTCAAGACAAAGTAATCAGTACTCATAAAATAAATTAATCGAGAAAAAATGTGTGTAAATTTTAAAAAAAATATATATCTCACTATTTCATTATGACTAGACACAGACAATGCAATGCAAATGTTCCGGCAAATACCTTCAACGGTACAACAAAAACCAGTCATCCATATGGATTTATAAATGATTCAACAATTTTTAAAAAATATTATCTCGGGAAAATTGTAAGTTAGAACGACTAAAGGTAAATATCACACTGTCAGAAATTTGATGAGAGACGTCATTCCAGGGGTATTTAGAGCGATAAAATATTTTCATTATTTTTTTTTCCCTTAAATATTTGGTTTGGAAGGGAGTGGTGGGGTGAGGGCTGGGAGTGGGAGCGATAGAAACTTGCCCCAAACAGCGTGACGTCATTCGCGGATGACGTCTTACTAGGGATTCAATGACAAATTGAATTTTAATATCTGAAACTGAAAACAATAAAAAAAAAAATGTATGGCCCCGGCAGTGTGTTGGCCCCCCAAAGCCATCGGAAATGGGGATCCCTGTGACATTAGCAATAATGTTTCATCCATCATAAACATTGTGTAGTATCTTAGTCTGATATCCAAAAGGATTGAGACGAGAGTATGCTCCCCGCTCAACGCCATCGTTGCTGTAGGGAGACTCCTGTTCACCCGCGATGTTAGCAGTGGAATTAGAACTGAACAAAACAAACAAAATGAAATAAAATAAAAAGAGGAATAATTGGTTTATTTAGTGAGTGGGGAAGTAAAAAGATATCTTTCTTAGATGTTTGGCAATACATGTAAAAAAAAAACACAGACTTTTATCAAATTAAACTTAACCTCATTTCAACGTTCCATTTAACACGAAAATAATTCACAAGGACGTTTGAACCATAATTTGCATTTTTTTTTCTCAATGCTATCTGAGGTTGTTTTAATTTTTTGCATGTAATTTTGCTTAGATTTTAAATAACAGTTTTGTATTGTAGTACAACTAAAATAAAACTAAGATTTAAAAAAAAATTGTATAAAAAGGGTAGATGAAGACCTGAAAGAGGTAAATAAAGGCAAGTGAACGCATGGGCCAAAAAAATCTTTGACAGTTTAAGACAGAGACAAAGACTCTCAGCTTGTTTTATAGATGTGTAAAGTGCAGGGAATGATAGACATTACACTACGGTAGTGACGCATTTAAATCAAAGAATTTGGGTAATTTGAGTATGAGAGTAACAGGAAATTATAGATTACGGTAGTGACGCATTAAATCAAAGAATTTGGGTAATTTGAGTATGAGAGTAACAGGAACTGGTCATATTCAACTACGGAAGTGACACGTTAAATCAAAGAATTTGATTATGAGAGTAACAGGAAATGGTCATATTCAACTACGGAAGTGACGCGTTAAATCAAAGAATTTGAGTATGAGATTAACAGGGAATGGTAGACATATTCAAATACGTAAGGGACCCATGAAAAGAGAAGAAAAAAATATTTATAGGATGTAAATTAGGTCATGTCCTACCTGGCCAAGGAGTTCAACGACGGTGTAAACGTTGGACTGTTGCTGTACTCAACAGCATCGTCTTTGAGCGCCGGGGTGGACGACGCCATCTTCTGCATCGGCAGCAGAGCGTTGAGTTGCGCCAGAAACTTCGGCGACCCCATTTTCGAGCCCAGGGTCGGCGACCCCTTTCTGGAGTTGGGCTCGGACGACAACAGCCGGGCGTTCGCGGATGGTGACAGCTGTACGATCTCCGGCGTCTGGGGTGCTGACCCTTTACTCAAACCGGGTACGGATGACAACAGCCTGGGATTCACCGATGGCGATAGCCGTATTATCTCAGGGGTCTGGGGTTTGTTCAATGCGAACTGGGAGCCGAAGATTTTCACATCGTTCTTTGCTTTCACGTTAGAAAAAGGAACATGCCCAACTTGAAGCAGCGGCAGGGACGTCCTCCTCATGCTCTCGTATTTTGATGGCGGCTCAATGATGTTTAAATAAGGGGAATTTCGAGGCGCTGACCCGCTGTCTCGACTTGGATCTGCATTGGCCAGCTTGGCAGCGACAGGGCTGTTGGTCATATCGATAATGCTGTCATTAGGATTATAGGTTTCAGATGTAGGGGATGAAGACTCCTGTAGAATTTTGACAACAAAATTGCTTTGTGTCATAATTTGTCAATTATTAATTTCTTATATTACAAATGCATGTTTCAGAATATTGTACCAAATTTTTTTTGTTGTTGTTTTTTTTTTTAAAAAAAACAATTTAATTTTAATTACAAACAAAAACTAGTTTTAAAAATGTACACATCATCTTTACGGTATTAATGTGTTTAATGTCAAATTTAACCTATGAAGAGTTTTTTGAGAAAATAATCTTTCAACTTTCATGAGTGATGTCTGAGCAGTGGTTTGATTGCTCGAGACATTCGGGGCGTCAAAGAGCTCTAACTTGCAAAGAACACCGTTTTTTTTTTTTTTTTTTAAGTTGTTTTTTTTTTTTGTTTTTTTTTTTTTTATATTTTTCATTTTTTCTTTTTTTTTTTTTTTTTTTTTTAACGAAACGAAAATAAACAAATTATTTGAGAAATCCGCCCCCACTTTTCAGTAATAAAGAAAGACAACTCCATCCATCAATTCAATATGTCATTTTATCTATTTAGGTACTCATTGAGAACATAACATGCACATGTACGTCATCAATCAATGGGAGACTGTGACGTAAAGCTAACCTGGTTGACCAGTTTTGTGGTGTCAGCGCAGGTGACGTCCTCGTCCTTTTTGACCGGCGCGGCAAGTGCCCGCAGAACTGACGACATCCATTTGGGAAGTGCACCGCACCGTAAGTGCCTGGAGGGGAAGGAGAGCAAGGCTGTGGCGTCACAACAGATGACCTACATTCTGACTAGGGGCTGACACGGGGAGCTTAGAACGGGTCTCATTATTTTTTTTATTTTTTTTCAAACAGCATCAATAATTTAAGGATAATCAAGATTGAACATTCAGGGTGATAAATATTTATTAGGGCTTAACCGTTTCAGTTTATTTTTAACAACGGGTCCGGAAATTTTGAGAAAAAAACCTGGTGGGTCCCGGTGGGTCCAAGTGTTTACAAAAATTAATATTGTTTAATAAAGAGTAATTTTTTCTATTTACAAAATGGGCCAACAAACAGTAGCACGTCTTTAAACGAAATGTTCTTATACACGGGGCACAAAGACACATGGCACACGCATAAAACGGTTTATGTAAAAGGAAACTTGCACACGACACACGCGAACGACACACGCGAGCGACACATGTGCAGATCAAACCGTACTTAAACACGACACACACGAGCGACACATGCGCAGATCAAGCCGTACTTACATCCGACACACACGAGCGACACATGCGCAGATCAAACCGTACTCACACCCGACACAGACGAGCGACACATGCGCAGATCAAACCGTACTTAAACACGACACACACGAGCGACACATGCGCAGATCAAACCGTACTTACACCCGACACACACGAGCGACACACGCGCAGTACCGTACTCACACCCGACACAGACGAGCGACACATGCGCAGATCAAACCGTACTTAAACACGACACACACGAGCGACACATGCGCAGATCAAGCCGTACTTACACCCGACACACGCGAGCGACACATGCGCAGATCAAACCGTACTTAAACACGACACACACGAGCGACACATGCGCAGATCAAACCGTACTTACACCCGACACACACGAGCGACACATGCGCAGATCAAACCGTACTCACACCCGACACACGCGAGCGACACATGCGCAGATCAAACCGTACTCACACCCGACACACGCGAGCGACACATGCGCAGATCAAACCGTACTCACACCCGACACACACGAGCGACACATGCGCAGATCAAACGGTACTTACACCCGACACACAAACACAGCACACGTGCAGATCATCGTGAGCAGCGACAGGCCGGCAATCAGACCCAGGGCTGCGATGACGGCATCTCCGGCTTCTTCATATGCATGGAAATAATTAGGATACAACAATTTTTTTAACTTTCAATTTAAAATAATGAAATGAATTTAAAGTGATCAATATCCTTTAAGCTAGTAGCAAAGATTTCTTTTTTTTTTTTTTTAATGTAACAATTTTTGTTGAATTGCTAAAGAATTTTCTCATTCACCATCTACAGTTCAATAACACCTTCGACTTGAAAGGCATTTGCAAATGGTTTATCAATCTCACTTTAGGAAACATAATTGAACCAAATTCATTGAGCTCAATACAAGACCTCTGCTAAGCTCGGCGCATGGCCATGATTCAGCTTAACCTCAAATAGTCATAGCACTCCTTCATGGGATTTTCACTTCCAATGATTTAAGATGATATTTTACTAAGTTTTTAATCTAACAAAAAGAAAAATGAAAAAATACGTATGCACTCCAATATGTTCTCATATATTTATACAAATCCTATTATGATAAGATACGATATTTTTTTTTTTATCCAAATAAATGGAAATTTGTTTTTTACATTCATCGTACCTATTTCCTTTGGGCCCTTGAGAAATTCGGCCTGCAAGTGTGCGGTCAGGGCAACTCTTGAGTTCTTGGGTGGTAACTCTCGAGTTCTTGGGGCAGAACAGTCTGGGATTTTTGTTTGAACCGAGGTTTTATGTATTATTAATATAGATTACGAATATAAATTCGAAATGGTTTAAACCAAGGTCTACGCCAGCTTAAATTAACGTCAGTTTTAAATGTTACATTTTGATACGGGATTGCACCAACACTTTCTAGCTGACAACTACGTCATTAATCTATCCTTGCTCCTGTCCTTGCTCTTGTCTTGCTCATTGCTTTGCTCCCGTCCTTGCCCCTGTCGTAGCTCCAGCCCTTGCTTCTGCCCTTGCTCCAGTTCTTGCTCCTGTCCTCGCTCCCGTCCTTGATCCTGCGCTTGCTTCTGTCCTTGCTCCTGCCCTTGCTCCTGTCCTTGCTCATGACCTAGCTCCTGTACTTGCTCCTGTACTTGCTCATGCCCTTGCTCCTGTACTTGCTCCTGTCCTTTGCCACTACTTAAAACTTCCTACTTGCAGAACCATTATACACAAAGGCACAATAAGTACATCATACCTGAAACGGCTTTATCATCATCCTCCCCTGTACACGTCCTGTCAGCACGTCCTCTCCCACATGTTATGTTCACACCCTGCGTGGCTGAAAGTGATAGAACCATAACAGTAACACTTGAGCTAGAGGCGATAGTTACACTTGAGCTAATTAACTCTCCCGTTCGTTACATGTATGCTAATTTAGAATATGTGTCATAAATAATGTGTAAGACGTGTCCATGTTGGGTATCATACATCTTATTGTGTTGTTTGGGTGAAGTTTTACAGCATTTCACATTGGCTCCACCATTGTGTTACCAAAATCTCAAATATTCATTCCCTGTGGTTTGAGATAGCACACATGTATTGGAACTAGAAATATGCATATATATATATATATATATATATATATATATANATATATATATATATATATATATATATATATATATATATATATATATATATATATATATATATATACCCATTTGTACACATTTATACATGAAAATAAACTCAGAAAACAAACAAACCCTTTTTAGAATACATATATCGTATAGATTATTTTAAAACAAAATGTCATTTTCTCTAATACTCTATTGACAACAGTTCTCGTGATTCTGTCATTTAATGTTAATATATTTCATGGTAAAAATCAAGTTAGCGATATGTACATGTGTGTGGGAGGGGGTGTGTGTGCACGTGTGTACAAACAAGATCCTCGCAAAAATATCTATATCTACAGTAGATCACAGAGCCAATCTCTTACTAGTCAAACATTTCACTGCACGTAAAGATAGATAGAAAGATAGATTTTGAAGCTGGAATCTAGTGCAGGTCTAGACAAAGGGATAATAGATTAATAAAGAGATGTTTTCCGTCATTCTTGAGGAGATTTAGCCGCGGCACACCTACAGCTTCCTCTCGCGGCACACCAAGCGTGACGCGGCACACCAGTTGCGGAGCTCTGCTCGGAGCACGCTCTCCAGATTTGAGCGTGCCATCTTTTTGAGAACTCTCAAAATTAAAATCTCTGCACTTACTGTTAACTTCTATCCAAACGAGACCTGTTGACATCATCACATTGATCTTAAAGGACGTAGCGTTGAATTCGGCCGAAGAAGTCGATGTACTGAAACACATTGTAAAATAAACAAGTAACACAATCACATTGATCTGAAAGGACGTAGCGTTGAATACGGCCGAAGAAGTCGATGTACTGAAACACATTGTAAAATAAACAAGTAACACAATCACATTGATCTTAAAGGACGTAGCGTTGAATACGACCGAAGAAGTCGATGTACTGAAACACATCGTAAAATAAACAAGTAACACAATCACATTGATCTTAAAGGACGTAGTGTTGAATACGACCGAAGAAGACGATGTACTGAAACACATATGTAAAATAAACAAGTAACACAATCACATGTTAACAAACAATGCCTTACAACAATTATTTCTTGTCTATTTAAAAAAAACAACAAAAAAACATTGATCATCTTCCAAAGATATGTATGGTATTATAGATGGATTATTACAACTATCGCCTATTTTAAAATCATTTGCATTTAAACTTCGATTTTCTTGTGGTTTTTTTTTCTCCTGACTGAATGGCGAAATCTTCGGGCGGCTAATTGACTCACTTCCCGTCAACCTATCGAGCTTACACTTGACACATAAATTTGTTGCCGATGACCTCACATTCCATCAAATTTTCAGCCCCCATCACAAACCCCCCCAACCACCAAAAAATGTTTTTCCTTTTTTTTCAAAAGGAAGCTGAATGAAATGTGAAGACACTAATTTCACGAAATAAAATTCCCAACAACTGCGCTAAGTGAGATTCCTACAAAATAAAACTATCGCAAGTGCGCTTGGTACGTAATATTTTCTTTAGATTTTTCTGAAATAGTTGGCGACATAAAAACAGGGGGGGGGGGGCGGGGCGGGGGGCGCGGACATTTGAATATTAATATTAATTAAAATAATGTAAAAATTCATTTACAGGATCCATACGAGTCTAGTTTTTAGGGGCTGTTAAATTAGAATACATATATCTTAGAGATTATTTTGCAAAAAAATCATATTCCTTAGATTTTATGGACAACACTTGTGTCTTCCCCAGAAGCGATAAAAGAATTTCAATATTTATTTATTTATTTATTTAGGCATTTTTATATAGCGCTTACCTTAAAGCTCTAAGTGCTTTACAATTATTAAAAACATGTAAACTAAGTAAAATAAAAATGAGACGTTAGGATAGTAACTACTATGCTATAGAAACAATTAAAATGGCTATAAAACGAGGACACTTTGGCACGTTTTGCCCTATACTACAGGATTAACCCGAGACAGAAAATGAGGCAGGGCAAGTAAGGTGCATCACAGGTCATAGGCGGACCTAAACAGATGGGTTTTAAGGGACTTTTTGAAAGTGGACGAAGATTCACAATGACGGATATGGAAGGGGAGCTGGTTCCAGAACGTGGGCCCATGGAAGTAGAAGGAGCGTTCACCGATGGTCTTAGTTTATACCACCTTGTAACGATTAACATATCCCTCCCCCCCCCCCCCCCCCCCCCCCACCCCTATGGAAGGGGAGCTGGTTCCAGAACGTGGGCCCATGGAAGTAGAAGGAGCGTTCACCGATGGTCTTATTTTATACCACCTTGTAACGATTAACATATCCCTCCCCCCCCCCTCCTTTCCAGAACATCCGCTAGACACCAACCTGTTCCACTTGTAGCTGGTTGTGTTGTTCGCATTTGTGATCTCCAGAAGTCCCCGACAGTCCGGCTGGCCCCGGAGATCACCGAAGTCCACCCGTAGCAGCCTCACCGTCGCGGGGGCTTGTGACGTCACCGAACACGAACGACTACTCCATTTCGGGACCGATTTCATCGCCAGATAAACAGTGTCCTGGGCGGCTGTACTTGGATGCTCAACTTTTCTGGCCATGTTGAAGACTTTTCCTGGTGAGAATTCTTTGAACACACGGAGAAAAGAATAAAGACAAGACATTTCTTTAAATAACATTATTTTGAACTAAACAGATTTCGCTTTCAACGAACATAAAAGGAGCAGTAGAAATGAAACACTGGTTCATATTTCATTAATTTGACACGAACAATGTCATCAGCAGTGTTAGCCAATGGCGATACGTTTGGCGGGTCTTATTCACGGGACACAGAAAATGTTTAACTAATTTAAAAACCAAGATAAAGAAACATTTATTTTCATTCATTTTTTTTTTATATTTGGCAATCTTTTATTGGCAGTTGTTTATGTGCAGCTACTTAACAATTGCGCTCATCATATTTCTGATTTCTTTCAGACTTTCCTTCACCTCTAGGACGCAGTCATTAATGAAACTAGAACTACTGGTCTTCTCGTGAACCCTTTACATCACAGGTTCTCAACGTGGGCCATATACGACTACCCTAATAGGGCCGCTGGCACTTTTCTTGAAGGTGACATTAAACAAAGGAATTTTTTTTTAAGTTAAAATTCAAATAACGGCTCTGGATGCCGGTGGCAGAGGCGGGGGGGGGGGGGGCACGACTTTTTTTTTTTAAAAGTGATGCACCAACAATAAAAGATTGAGAAACACTGCATTACACCAGAGCTTACTTTCCCGTGTGTCGTGTGTGGCTTCCGCCAAAACCTAACACCAAATTTACAACCATGCATCATATGAGCCAGCCAGGTACTCACACAAACATATATATTTTTTTTTTCCACTGTGTCTTTTGCTTCAATATGCTTACAGGATGTAAGCAAAATATTTTGTATATAACCCTGAAAGGGTGGTGCAATGACACTCCATCCATTTTGCTCACTTAAAAACGTTAAAATGTAATAGTAGCAGACAACACAACCCTCAACCCTTGTATTAAAACACAGATTGATTTAACATGAGGAAAAATAAACTGGAAAAAAAAAATTAATTTAAAATGAATAGGCAAAGAAAAATATAAATAAGTAAAAATATTTTTTTAACGACAAAAAAAAAACACCTTTAATCTGCATTTCATTGACAAAATTTATATTTTCAAGTTAGTCATTGATGCAAAAATTATATATATATATATATATATAGTATATATAT